TTCGGTTCCGTGACTACTAAAGAACAGCAGGCCCATAATAAACAAATACCAAAATTGACTCGCTGCGCATCATCATAATCAAAATAACAACGGAAGCTTGTCTCCAGAAGAAAATCTCATTTATATGTTTCACTTGAGAAGGGACTTTCATTAAACAACATCTGACTTACATAAATTCAGTTAATAATTAAAAAGCTGCAACTGTTAATTAGATGCGACTATATTCTATACAGATAGGAGATACTCGAATGAATTGGTGTTCAGCCGGTTGTGCTGTATAAGAGTATACACATAAACCAACAGTGTTAGTTTTCGTAGTCCTTGATGTATTGCATTTTCATTAGTTTAATAACCCTTCAATTATTTGACCATTTTGTAACTTTTGTACATAACAATGTACAAAACTATAACGGTATTGTATGAATTTATATATATCAAGTGTGCGACCACCAACGCTCACCACGACGAATGTACAGCAATCTAAGAGTAAATTGAAAAATGTCATGTCAAAGAGCGTGGCTAAAAGGCGTGAAGAAAGGAATGTATTAGTAAAATACTCACATAACATTATTAAGAGAAATGAGGTCAATACTGGTCCAGATCGAAATCGAACGTTTACGTTTTACATTTTGTTCATTATTACACACAATCAATGAATCAGTATAGTCATCACAATACCGCACCTCGCAAATTAAATCATTGCCATACTGTTGTTATTGTGCATTATAGCCTAACTTTATAACGCATCTTCAACTTAAGAAGTTGACAATGAGGAAAAGTGAATGCATGCAAATGGTAAGAGATTAAATAAGTCAATCGCAGTTACTGCACCTTTTGCTTTGCTAGAAAGTAATAGGTTATCCATAAAGTATACTGAAACTTAGGTCCCTTATTAATAAATATGACCTACCACCTAGTCACACATTTCAGCACCACCCTAAGTTAGACTGCGAGAAAATGCTTGTCATTAATCCCGCCATTGTACAGCCTACACTTGTGCATAAAGTATTTAAAAAATACATACAAAATTAGATTTTGATATGACAATGAAATATGGGTTAAATGGACATCTAAAATGTGTTTAAATTACTAGTTACAGGCAGGCACAGAATAGAAAAAACGGCGCATTTTCGTTTCGGAGGCCAAAAAACGTTTTGGGCCGCTGAGTCAGCGAAGTAAGTTACCAAGTGACAGATGTACATATTTTCACATCGATGCTTCGGTCACACTCACAACTAGGTTAAATTGACCATACCATATTCTATGCTAAAAAGCTTTGAATAATTACAGATCAAGTTATGATAACTGTTAATAAATAGTAGGTTCTGATGATAGAGTCTACCACTCGCGGTATACTTATAAATATATTGGTTATGCGCCGTTCGTTGCTTGTAGGTAAATTGTAATGTAGAGCATGTGTTATTAAAGAGATTTCTATATTGCATTCTATGTATAATATAATACGAGTAGATGCAAATAGAATTAAAGTGCGTGAAAAGGGATGTCGAGTGATCAAGGAGAATGGAAGAAAACTCATTGTACCGAGCCCAAAATTTAGAAAAAGGTTAGGAATATGATTATGATAATTTAGATGCGAATATAAGTTTAACGCCTTAACAACTCAACTAATCATTACGATATTTATAGTTGTCAGGGATACAGAAAAAGAAACATTGTACCTCGCTTTTGGGAGAAAATATTAATAACAAAATCTAAATTCACAAGAGCGAAATGAGCAAAGGACATTTTCTAAGAAGTTGGAGATTTGTATGAAAAATTAAGCGGAGAGCTTTCGCGCTGTAACTCTTGTAACTTTGCGAAGGTCTGTCGTAAAGTGTGACCTCGCGCGTTGTCGTGAAGAAGCAAATGTGGAAAAGCGATTGAGCAGCCGCGGTTATTTAATTGCGAGCTTCTGCATCTGCCGTTACTGCTGTCCCATTCGGTAAGAAGCTGTAATGTACAAGTTCGGCACTGGTCCATCAGACAGTCACTATCATCTTCTTAAGGTATTTTTTTAACGCACTTATTAAGTGCTATACCCGGGTCCACCCACTGAGACAAACGCTTACGGTTGTCTTTCAGGATCTATTTTCATCGCAGGTAATAACCCTATTCAGAATTCCCTCATTTCTGCCGACTCAGTAGTCCTATGCATACTTGGACGCGTAAGTCTCGCTAATTGTCGCTTAGTTTGTGTTAGTCCCACTTATCTAGCTTTTTTAGCTTTCCGATTTAACACCAGTGCTTCAATGTTAGTTTGACACTAACCCCAAAAGCCGCAGCAAGCTCAACCGTAGATTGAGTTTGGATCCGCTTATACTATCGCCTTCAATTCGTCGTTGCCGACTATAGTTAACGGCCGATCGCGAGGCTTGGTCTTCATCTCAAAATTGCCAGATCTAAAACGATTGAACTAATAATGGACCGTATTTATGCAAGCAGTGTTACACGTGTACACGTCGTTAATGTTTCGTGTTGTTTGCGCAGCGGTATTTCCACGTAGACTCATATTCGAAAATTGTACGTATTGTACTAAACTACCATTTACAAGTATTATTATTAAATATAGTATATTATTATTAAATTATTATTTAAAAAAAAAGTTTATTAAAATGAAGAATTGACAAAACTGTGGCTTTTTCTGACGTTCGTATCGAGCAACAAGTTCATTCTGCATAGACGTAGTTAATTATATAGACACGTTGAAAAAATTGCTGCCCACCTGGCTTGAGGCACGTGCCACGTTCACCTGTTCTTAAGTTGTACTTTTAAATAAGTATAGTATGGCAACCAGCAGTCGTATTCGTAATGGCATTATTTTTTGTATACGTTACAAAATTACTGCATTTTAAACGTAATTAGCGAGTTAAATAATAGTTTCGAAAGATGATTTAGGCTTACATACGGCTGTAAGTCGTACATGGGTTCTCGAGATATGATCGTTTCTTTAGCGCTAAAATGACAAAATATGGTCTATATCAAATGTTACTTTAACGTGTAGATGACAATATCATTCGTACGTACGGTACAAGAGTACGATACATTTTCCATACTATATTTTTATGTGCTGTGCTACTAGTATGTATAGATATTATTTTTGCATATAACATGCATTTACAAAAAATTACTAAAACCGCTCTTGTTACGCGCTTTTTTTTCTCTTTCTACCTTAATAGAGCAAAGAAAGTCGCCGTCCCATTTTTTTGTTCCTTCGGTGATATTATGTTTCCTGTAACGAAGACACATCAAGTTGGGTTGTCTAGGCTAACCAGTTTAAGCTGAATATTCGTTTTCCCACTGGCATCTGACCTCCAAAATGGACAGAATAAATTATATCCAATAAAACTTTATTCCTATTAACATGTCCACGGCTCTATACTTGTTATTTCGTGAGAATACGCAATCACTTTAGTTTTTATTACATCAGGATTTAATAAATGGCTAAATAACAATACAAGTTAGTGTTCTGTATGTAGCTCCGAAGAGAAAATCCTTTCTCTTTTTCGAAATAAATAAATACTCACGATCTATGGCACTCAGACACGTAATAAACTTAGTTCTTTTTAAGTTATTGTAGATAAAAAGTAGCTTTGGTGGCCAACTCAACTTTTAAAGTGTATTGCTATTGTTGTCTTGAGATGTGCCGATTTATAAATGATTTAGTACCACAAACCATACAGTACAATTCTTCTGGAGTGAAGCGAGGCCTGATCTAACAAATAATATTATTTTCTGTGTGGTCATAAAGTCATAGTCATCCAATCTCTTAAAAATAAAATGAAAATCGTTCGGACCAACATGATTATTGAAAAAATTGATACAAGAAAAATAATTGATATACAAAATTTTACATTCTAAATATAGAAAATATTATAAGTACAGAATATTTAATGTTGTACTTTTTTTATTTTATTGATTTGTTTATAACAAATAGGCTTACAGTTGTGGAACCAAAGCGCTTAAATTGCTTTTGAACAACGAACGCAACGAACAAGTGTAAATGCAAGCTTATGTCCGGCGAAAAATTGAAAAGGGCTAGTGAAATACAATCTTTCAGAGGATACATAGCTATTACTAGTAAATACTCCAGACTAACCAATATCTCAACAAAATATAAAGAAACTTTTCTATTTAGGTAATTATCACTTAACATAATAAAGGAAGCAATAATTAAATGTCATTTCGCAGAGGTACTTACGTTCGTTAAAAATTACTGCAAACAATACTGCATTCGCTCTTAGTCGCTCTCGTCTTTTACTTCACTTTACTTTAGTAATCCTTTGGTCCAAATATAATCCAACACAAAGCATCCAGATTATGAACTGTTTTAATAATTTATTATATTAAAAGACAATAGTTTTAACACAAAATGCTACGTTTTTTAGCGACAGAATGGCAACTATTCATTTAGAAATCATAATCAATCATAAAACTTGGAATTTAAACCAACACTTTCCCGCCAAACGTTTATTTATTTCGCCGGCAACTAGCCAGAGGCACAGGCACGACACGTCGCGTCCAACCACGAGCACAGCCGGTTCGCTGTTGATTGTTTTATTTTGAACTCGACGGCATCGCTATTGCGCGCTTGAACGCAACGGCCAGGCGTGCCTTAGGTCTGGATATATTAAAGAAGTATTCAAAACAATCGCTACCATACACTTTACGTGTCCCTTTCATACGTTCGTTTGAATTTGAAATCAAATAAAATAAGAAGTAATTAAATTCGTTGCCAGGGAATAAGCTACACATACAAAAGAAAACAAGTATTAGGTGTAGTTTGTATAATTTAAAAAAAATGAACTTATTATTACATTATGCTAAATAAACTAAGTATTTGACCAGAGGTAACTATAGAATTTTACAAAATTCGGAATAATTGTATAAATTATAACATAATAAACCAGCCACTGCATCCTTATTAGTCTAAATCTAACGAACATTTTTAGTAGGTACACGATTTCCATATTTTGTTAGTATTAGATTTCTAAAGTTTGTTATTAAGTATCTGCTAGTACCTCAGCTTCTCGTTCTACTGATTTCTCCACTTCGTTTTCAATTTTTTCGATATCCTCGACACTCAAATCTCCATCAAATTCATTCTTATCCTTATTTTTATTGAGATTTCCACTTTTTAGAAAAGGTTCATGTAATGCTTTGTACAGTTTTTTTGCTTTTGTAACACCAAAACCTGGACAATCAGCCAATTTACTTTCCGATGCTTTTATAATATTTTCCAATGTACTAAATCTTGCGATAAGAGTCATAGCGTCTGTTTTATTAACTGGTTTTATCGTACTAAGAGCATTCACTACCTAAAAAGAAAAGAAAAAATCATGAGTTGATATGACACGCCGCTGAATAAAAACTACTACATTGTGTATATTTGTTAATGACTTTTTTTAATTTTCATTATTTTTTATTATAAAGGTAATTTACTTTATGCAAAATGTATACAGAGGCGTACTAAATGCTGTAAGCATTCTCTTCCAGTATACTTTAGGGTGATGTAGAAATGAGTGAGAGTAGGTGCATTAAAGAATAGGAAAATATAATATGATATATATACTGTGTAAATAGCTTTGCGAGTAATTAACACCACGTTCGTTTTTTTAAGTCTGACAAACATCGTAGAAAACGCCATTTACTTTATAAATATTAGGTCTTTACCTATGAAGTAATAAGAATTCAATCAAAAAAAGATTTCTATGCAAATTTTAAAATATAAATATTTTGGTTATTTTTTTATTTTAGCTAATCAAAGGACCAAAAATTGCAAAATTGTATACAATTTTGCAATTTTTATGGCCGTTTGTTTATTCCTTTACTGTAGAATTTTGCTGTACAGGAGCCGACGAAGTCAGCGAAAGCGTTAGGGCAAGGTCTGTCGTGAAATGTGAACTCGTGCGTTGTCGTGGAGAAGCAATGGGGAAGAACGATTGACCAGTCGTGGTTGTTGAATTGCGAGCTTTTCCATCATTGTTTCCAATTCTTCTCAATAGACATCTGCCGCTACTGCTGTGCCCTTCGGTTAGAAGCTAAGCGAAGTCCGGTACTCTTCTACCAGACAGTCACCATTATCTTGCTACGGAATATTTTTTCTTTAGCGCGCTGATTTGGTGCTGTACGCGGGTCCACCCACTGGTACGAACGCTTACGGTTGTCTTATAGGATCCACTTTTCATCGCAAGTAACAATTCGATTTAGAATTCCCTCGTTTCTATGCCGATTTAGTAGTGTTATGCATGCTTCGATAATTTATCAATATGTAGGCCCCACTGTAGCATAGAATGTAGTGTTATACCTAAAAATGTCGTAATATCCACAAGGTCCAACTCGACATCCTTAATCATCACAGTAGTTTTCACTAGCATAGTGAAACGTATACACTTAGTTTTTTGTTCATTTAAAAGCCAATTGTTGACGTCAAATAAATGAACCAATTTCGAAATGGCTGTTTACGTCGTCGTAAGTGCCCAATGTGCCCAATTAGTCAGAGGTGTAACAAAAATACTTGATCCTACATTACAGGTTTCCTTGTCTTGTATTTATTTTAATATTTACTAAGTAAACATATCCATCAAAAAAAGACGAAACGAATAGTTTATTTAGTGATTTTAAAAAAACTGAATTATTTTAATAGTATTCAAGATTTAGGTAAAAATCTTAATAATAAGAAGATAAAATATTTAAGTATTTAAGTAACATTGTTACATTGTTACATAAGTACGCTACGCTGCTTTTATCCATATAGTTGCTTATAGAGTCTAGACGCTGCTCACATTCTGTATTTAAGTACATAAAGTACTTAAATACAGAATGCTAAAAGAACAAGTACCTAAAGAAAAAAACATGTTTTTAAACCATAAAATACATTGTATTAAACTTTATGACTAAAGGACATTTCTCAATGAATATCAGACTAAGTATAGTACCTATTTACCCTGTTACATATTAATAACGATATTATTTTATAAAGAACTAACAAAACTTAACAGTTATGTATATACAGAGTTACTGGTTAAGTCGACCTAGATGCGTTAAGGGGTTGTAGTTTCCATTATTTCTGACAGATTTCACTATGAAATATCGTATCCAAAACCTAACTTCCAAGGTATGTTTTGGACTTTTAATATTTCTTATAATAATTTTGTCTTACAATTTTTTTAAACTTTTTTTACTGTTTGTGTATAAGTAATACAGTGTTTTGTAATTTCCATTACCAAAATTGTATTTAAGAAACTGAGCCGAAGTAGATGGTTAACAATAGGAAAAAAAATGTTGTTTGTCGTTGAAAAAAATATTTCTTTTTTTTATGAAAGTTGAGTTACAGATGTGGTAAAAACATGTACGTATTGTCAGCCTTCTAACAAGGTATAATAGTCTAAAATAGTATCAAAATTCATAGAAAAAGTATAGTAGTAATCGTATAGCCTAGAGTATTAAGAATTAGCGTATAACCCAGTAAGTACTTTGCTTGTATTTTTGGACTCTTTCCTTTTTAATTCGTGACTAACTATTGCTGACTGGACTTTGCTTTGTGCTTCTGATACTGTTGAAGATGACTCTTATTGATGATCTTAATGACTGAATTTTAATTTTAATCTTTTAAACAAAGCAAATTACCCAATATATACAATAGATTTAAAAAAACTAAACTCCGTTTCAAAGTCACGTAGTTAGGTCCTTTACCGTAGTATCGTTAAATTGTACGAATCATCATCATCATCAACATCCTTCAATAGTCCACTGCTGGACATTACGAATAATATTGTACGAATATTCAAAGTTATTAATAATGGATTCTGGATTCTTATAAATAAGACTAGATATAAGACTTACGACACATTGGTTTTCGTATATTGCCTCACAATTAATGCATTTTTGCAATCGCTGAAACCACTGTACAAAACAATTCCACCAGACTTCCTTAATGTACCCCTTCAATGGCTTCATGGAATGCATTCACCGCCGATTCAGAGATCGTAAAACCTTATGCCTCTAAGTTTGTCTTTTTTTTGGAAACAAAAAGAAGTCGCAGGGTGCGACGACCGTACTGTAAGGTGGATACGTCATCAGTTTCACATTTGCGGAATGTGAGGATGAGTTATCGTGGTGAAGGAGGTCTTTGCTTCGATGATGCTTTTCGCGAACTTTTTCTAAGACTCTGGGCAAGCATACTTGCTTATACTATACTATTATACTGGGCGATACTGTAGGGTAATGTCCTGATTTGCCAAAAAAAAAGAAGCAACAATTTTTTTACCAATGCTTCGACTTTTCTTAACTTTCATCGGCAAATCTTCAAAAGGAAAGAGTCACTTTGCCAACTGGCTTTTTCTTTTGGATTCAAAGCAGTACACCCAGGTTTCGTCACCGTCACGATATTACACACACAGCCAGCCAATGTCTGTCCTCCGTTAAACTTTTTTATCATTTTATGGCACCACGGGACACGCAGTCGTTTCTGGTCCTCCGTTAAGTTATACGGTATCCATCGACTGCAGTTTCTGAATCTTCAGATGCACATGTAAAATGTTTTGCACTTGGCACGAATTTGCTTGCAAGTATTTTTTTTGTCAGTTTCAATAAGTTGTCGTATGGTGTCAATATTAGTCTGAAACCGCAGTCGCCGGCTGACCTTCACGTAACCTCGTCATGAAGATTATCACGTCCACGTCTAAATTGTCCAAACCACTAATACACAGAGCTGTGACATGGTGTTTCATCACCAAATGCCAATTGAAGTCTCTAGCAACACTCTTGTTGAATTTAGCCACAAAAAAATCATAAATAATGATTAACGAAAATGTTAACAAGTTAACTTTATTTCGACAGCGACAGCGACAATTTTCGAAAGGACGTGACAATGAACAAATGACAGTCTCGCAAATTGAAAAGTAAGATGTTCCCAAAGGGTTCTATTTTGAATATCATAATTGTTATTTTATTCTTCTTTCAGTATGCCACACGTAATATTAGTATGGATAGTATGGATTAGTATGGAATTAGTAATTTACTGTTTACGTGAATTATTAGGCTACAAAGAAGAATTGTAACTACATAATTGTATAGTGTAAATGTGTACCGACTTCCGATAGATTACGTTCATATTTTTTATATTACGTTCATATTTAAGAAACATTTCTTAAGAATATAATCGTTGCGTTTGTGCATTCACGTAAGAACGTAATCGTTTTCAGATAGGACCAAGTAAAATCTGGGAGTACCAGTTAGGGACACTGTAAGATTTCAGGAAGCTCACTGAGACTTTGGTAACTCATATAGGCCAGCATCGCGGACCTACCGATGGGTAGGTAGGTACCCGACGCGGGTCTATATTATACTGCAAATATTAATATCACCGTACATCAACTTACGATGTATAAGGAAACATTACATTATTTTTTTTATTTGTCTCAGGTAAGCTTTTAATCTGATCTTAGTCTTAAGATTTGTGTAGAAAACAATATGCTCATTTAAGCAAGTATTGCCTTTGAAATAACTTCTAACTAATCAATAGGTTATCTGTCACTCATTTTACAGTTGCTTGATTTAATAGATATGTTACATTGTATTCTGTAACATAATCACTCTCTAAAAAACATGGAATTTTAATTATAAAAATGCAAGGTCACAAAACTGAGTTAAGGATGTGCCTAGCTTGACTAGATAGTAAAGAGTCTTTGACATTTTTTAAAAGCAATTGCATGGTTACACTTATGCATATTTTTTTATAATCACTAAATTAAATACAGAATTAAAAATCATGTTACAATTTAAAATCAGTAAATGCTATCACATGATAGGTGTGATCTTTGTTTTATAATTTCATAATTACCTTTTGGTGTGGATCATTTTCAATCTTCTCCATGATTCTATCTGGGGGTTTATTCTCAAAAATTTTATAATTTTCTATTATCTTGGCAGCTTCTTCAGGATTCCAAGCTAACATAAGTGTTAAATCTGTTAATAGACATAATCTTGTTAGGTTCTTTAGAGTGCTGTGAGGTTCTTTTAAATCTACCTAAAATAAAAATTAAAGCATAATAAAACTATTCATGTTGGCGCCAAATACATCCTATTCTTGAAGCCTGCCATGGCAAATAAAGACTTCTTACAAAGATATTCATAAGAATTGAGTGTATTAAAATGATTATTCATAATATATCACATGTTTATTTGAATACTGCTATTTAAACAACATTCTATTTTTTTTTTAGCTCCATCTATTGTTTAAATACTTAATTTAGACATTGTTTCGTTTTGTAAATGTAAAACTGACTCATTCTTCTAGCAGTTTTTTAAATGGTTAACTATCACTTTAATAGTCTGTTTATAAGGAGCATCCTTTAATTACGTGAGGCATTCAGGAGGGGAGGGCTCTATCCGAATCTCATCTAATCTTATCACGTAATTTTTTATCTGCAATAAACAGAGTAAAATTGCGAGAAAACTGGGTAAAATTAAGTAAAACATGGACCTGCACGGAAATATGGCCAAATCTTATTTAATAATATTTACTAGACTACTTTCAAAGCAATCTGAAATACTAGTCAGAACTAGTCTTAAATAAAAATGCTAAGCAAATTTTGTTTTAGAATAAATTCGCTTTCACGCTAAAAACACATTTTTAAAAATCTCACGTGAGATTGGGGGATGAGGGAGGGGGTTGAATCAAATCTAACGACATCTCACCAGGAGGGAGCGGGTCGGAAAATCGCCGAAATATTCTTACGAAATTAATGTACCTCATAATCTGTATATAATTATATACATAGAGATCATTTAATTGTAAACAAACTTATAAAAAATGTATTTACTAAGTATTCAGACATTTTTGTACTGAAAAATTTGTATTTTTACTAAAAATAAATATTAATTTATTCATATCAGTATATGTTGCTTGAAACACCATAAATAGCTCTCCTACATAATTAATTTGTTAATTTATGACAGCTTTAGCATTGTTGTAAATATATGATATTTGATCATTTTGAAAATGTAACTTACAGAAACTTTTCATGGTCATTAACATTGCTTACCTGTACTAATAAAACTCTAAGCTCATATCTTTTTCCTAGTTCTTTTAACCGATTGTTTATATAATCTGGATTGATGTTGTGATATCGCAGAGACAAGAACAGTAGGCATATCGTTTTGCCCACTTCATAATCAGGAATAATATCATCATATTCCCATGGCACACTTTTTATGAACTTCAGCACTGGGTTACCTCTCTGAAAAGAAAACGTTAATGTCCAAAATAATTTGCTACTGAGAATTATTTGAATTAAGTACTGACAAGTGAATGTTGATGAAACATTATGCATATTCCTCATTTTAATACTTTGAGTGTCTTATTTTTTTTCAAAAGTACCTCAATAACCTATTAGTTGCATAGATAAATAATTCCAAAACTATAAAGTTTTTGAAGACCAATAACATCAAATATTTACTGAAAAACTTTTTTTTATATCATAATTTCATAATTTCTGATATTAAAAATGTCGAGTCTCACCTGTTTCTGATTCACTAATACACAGTGGGTTTTTGAAGAGGCAGGTTTGCTGCTAACATCCTGTGAGGTGCCTGCATAATGTACAATATAATGTTTCAATCATAATCTGGTACTCCTGTAACTTTTTTTAGTTTGCACTATTAGTATAATTTGTTATGAATTACACAGAGATGATGGGGTTCTCAAATTAAATGCTTATAAATTATAGACCTTAACTGTGTTATTAAAAATGTTATAGGCTAATTTACTGTAGCAACCAACATTTTTTTTTGTTTTTTTTTTATTAATTTATAAAAACATTCAAGTAAAGTCGTTGATAATAATAATTTATTTTCACTTGCACAAAAAAATAGATAACAAGAATTTTTTTTTAGGTTGTCATCACACTACACAGCTTGCCTCACCCGTTTAAAGATCTAGCTGACAGACTCTTCCAGACTACATGTTTCAAAATAAAACTACCTATATTGCTTTATGGTATTTCAGTACTTGTAGCTAGAAATCCATACTTACATATATTATAAATGTGAAAGTGAGTTTGTTTGTTCGCTTGTTACACTTTCACGCCTAAACCACTAAACCGATTTTTAAATTCTTTCACCAATGGAAAGCTACATTATCAGCGACTAACATAGTCTACTTTTTACCGCGATACCCGATATACACGCGGGCGGAGCCGCGAGCAAAAGCTAGTAGGTAAATAATAATTACAAGAACATTTCTTCGTAAATGTAAGGTTATGAAAGAATACAAGCATAACTGCCAGAGATTGAACATACCAGGTTGGGCTTGATGAACTTCAATTTCAAGTTTCGCTTTCTTTGGGGAAATTGGTTCACTAATTTCTGCCAATAAATTATCAAGCCCGTCTTCTAGCTCCATGGGAACCCACTTTTATTTAACTGCTGCTGTATGTTAACTATAAACAATAAAAGAAGAGGGAAACAACAGTTTCATACTAATACTATTAAATAACTTGGGCTTGGGCATCTAATCGCAAACTGATATTTGCTATTGTGATAATCAATCAGCTTTTATTTTCATCAAGTTTTCAACGGAAAACAAACAGCTGATATCTGTCAATACTGTCAATAGTCAAATAGTCAAATTTGACAACGGAGAAGTTCCATACTTTTTTTTTTGAATTTAATGACCTGGTAACTTAGACCTTTAAGTCAAGAGAAGTTCCACACAGAAAATACAAATAGAGGGGAGAAGGTATTGGATTGACCGTAAGTGGAATAGCGACGTCGGTAGAAAGAGAAAGAAGACGGCTACCACTTCGAGCTAACTAACACATCAGCGAAACGGTGGGAGATAGACGCATTTTCACTGTCTTCGTTCTCTTTCTACCAACTTCCCCGTCTGGCTAGCGTCTCTCCTCCAGCTATATATTTTCTCTATGGAAATTATACGTTTAGGGCTAGCGGGCACGGGTGACTTTTTGTCACTGTCACGTCTCGTCTCCTAAGTAGAGTGCACTCACGAAGGGTGACAAGAAATTTAAGCGTCATTTGCTGAGATTGATTTCGAAGACACGTTTGGTAAACGTAACTCATCAGAATTAGAAGAAAAAAAGAATACTGGGCACATCTTTTGGAATAAAAGTATATAGGTGCAAAGTTCTACACTAAGTTATATTAACTTCGAGAACATTCAAAAAGAATGTTTCTTTGTTATGATTAGGTGTCGAGTATTTGCCAACATAAAGAAAATTGGCATCCTAAACTAACATTTTTTTTCGAAATTGATTTAATTACATATACTTACTAAATCAGTAAAAAAGATCTATCTGCCATTACTTTTTCTATCATTTTACTAACACGATAAGCAAAAGTACCTTAAACTCAGAGGACACAACTGGCCTAAATCTGATTTACAGTAGACCAAAAGGTCACAAATGCATAGATGTTACTTTTATTTTTTTTAAAAGAAATATCATCATCATCATAATCACATCAACAGCCTATACTAGTCCACTGCTGGACATAGGCCTCTCCTTAGAAAGGAGTTTTTGTCCTACTATACTACTACTACTATACCTACGGATTGGTATAGGGTTTGTTTCAAGTTTTCCTTCTCTTTGCAGTGCTGTTGTCCTGCTTAGTTTGCTCCCTTAGTCGGCTGCAACTAATAGTGGTTAAACAATATAGACCTAATAAAAAAAACAGGAAATGTGTTTTGTTCAGTACGATATACCGTTGTAGTGAATTTCTGGTTCATTGGTGTTCGCTGGTATACTCTCAAAGGCTAAAAAATATATTCCAGAAAATACCCGTAGGACAACATTAACAATAGGCCGTTTCCATGCTTGGCAGGCCTCGACAAGTGTCCACAAACACAAGGGTGTAAACGGGGTGTTTGGCTTGGCTTATATGAGCTTGTTGTCGATCGGGATTAGTGTCGGGTATTCAACACAGATTAAAGGAAACTTGCGTCAAGCGTTTACGATATGTTTACATTTTGAATTAAAATAAAATATAGTTTTAAACAACTAAAAAACACATTTTTTTACTAGCCAAACTAAAAAGTAGAAATTAATTTTCTATGAGTTCAAATCACTGCACGGATGGCGTAGTGGTTTAAGCGGTCGCCACACCCCCTCCTACTACGCCGCGTGTTGAGGGTTCAAACCCCACATGGGACGACACTTTGTGTGATCAACAAATTGTTGTTCTGAGTCTGGGTGTTCTCTGTGTCCGTTTCATGTATGTTTGTAAAGACCCTCGCGACACAGGATAAATTCCTAATGCGGGAGTTGTCTTTAAAAAAAAACATTTTTTCACAGAAATGCGTGGGGTGCTAGATCTCAATTGTTGTAAGAATATTTTATTGATAGATATTGGTAAAAGTAGTTATTAAGTTATTTTATTATAAAACTAGCTGAGACCCGCGGTGTTACCCGCGTCTGTTGTTATAACCGCGGGCAACGCCGCGGGGCGAAGCTAGTCTAAAAAAAAGTAGCCTAAGTTACTCCTTATGTCATCAGCTATCTGCCAGTGAAAGTCCCGTCGAAATCGGTCCAGCCGTTCCAGAGAATATCCGGAACAAACAGACAGACAGACAGACAAAAATGTTATTTTGGCATATGTACCATGTAAACATACATATGCATTTAGTAAAAAGTGGTTATTTTAATATTACATATAGACACTCCAATTTTATTTATTTGTATAGAAGATATCTTAAATTGACGCCACGCTTTTTATACACACACCAAGCTAATAAAATCGTGTTAAAAAAAATGTTTACATCTGCTATGTTTGCCTGTCAACAAACTAGAAAATTCTCAAAAATGTAAATAGAATTCAAGCGTTTGTAAAGGCCTTGTGAACGTTTGTCAAGACTCGGCACGCATGTGAACAAAGCTCAAGAATGACAACCATAGAGTATATATTTATATGTGAGAACTTCAAGTGAGTCTATAGCACATAGTTCAGTAATAATCTATAGTTCTCAATCATATTGATAACGTCAAAATTGTCAAAAACCGCCAAAGTTGTGAAAAAATCGTAAATTTTTATCTACTACTTGTGTACTACTGTACTACTAATATTTGTGATTATTTTGTCGCAGAAGTCACTACGTGTTAAAAGAGTTCTTATATTAAAGTTAAACTTGTAATTATTACTTGCACTTATTTAGCACCAAATCGTGTAGTATTTATTTAAAATTGGCGGCATAGCAAGCATTGAGAAAATTAAGATATTATTTAATTTGATGTATGTAAATACAATCGGGATGATTGATGCTAGCTAGTAAACAACACAGAAACATGATATTCTCTCTATTCAAACATACTCTTTAAAAATAATTGCAACCATTAGATCATGAAGATTGATTATGAATAAGGCCTCTTGTAGTGAATCAAAAAATAACGATGGATTCGAGGAAGATGACATATTCGAGGATTCTTCGCTTTTGGCCAACTTTGATAATTCTTTCAAACAAACATCCAAAATCTCTGAGAGTAATATAAATGAGTCTAGTAATGTTTTAAATGTCAGGTAAGATGCAACCAAATCCCTTATCTATATACAAGTGCAGATAAGAGCAAATTCTGTTACTAATTTAATACAATTATTTGCATGAATTTTAGACTTATTTTTGTCACCTATATCTTCTACCCTAATTCCTATTTGAGTTTAGTACCAAATCATAAATAGTACTTTTCTTTTTTGGCTAATATCATTCAGACTGTAATTTGTTACATTATTTTTTATCTGGCTTTGTACACTTATATCATATTTTTCTTTTATTATCGGGCTTTGTACACTTTTATATCGTTTTAGTGCACTATGCTGTGATGAGGAGATAAGTGGATATGACAAACTCACTGGTAAAACTTGGATTTACCCCACAAACTACCCTGTTCGAGACTATCAATTTAATATTATTAAAGCGGCTTTACTTAAAAACACTTTGGTAAGTAATTATGCATCAGCATCATCTGGGGTCAGCGCAGTATGATTCTTCCATTCTGCTCTATTATTGTCATTGCACTGTTTACAACCTTCCTTTTCATATCCTCATTCACATAGTCTATCCACCTTTCCTTTGGTCTTCCTATTCTTCTGTACCCATGCCTAACACTTTCTTCACCACATTTTCCTCATCCCTGCGCATGACATGTTCATAAAAAAATAACCTATTACTTTTAAACTTTACATCCATTGGATCTACTTTTCAGACTCCCTCTTATATACTCATTCCCGACCTTGTCCATCCGAGTCACACCACACATCCATCTCAGCATTCGCATTTTGGCTACATTCAGGTGTCTCTCATTCATTCTCTTACAATCTAAAGGGAAACTGGGGTCACTAATTGTTCCCGTTACCTCAATGCTGTACAGTTCTTATGCAACAGCATAGACATAAAAAAACTACTACCATAGAAGAATATTAGACATTGTAGGAATTACTTAACTTATTTAAAAATTATATTTTCATACAGATATATATAAATTTATTTCTTTAATTTTTATAAAAAAGAACATGTTTTTTTTAACAGGTTAGTTTACCCACTGGATTGGGTAAGACTTTTATAGCAGCAGTAATAATGTACAACTTTTACCGCTGGTATCCTCTAGGAAAAATTGTTTTCACTGCACCAACCAGGCCCTTGGTGGCTCAACAGATAGAAGCATGTTACAATATTATTGCCATACCTCCTAATGATACAATAGAAATGACAGGTGGGTAGAATTCAAATAGAATTTTATTATATAATTTTAAAACTGAAATTATTAATAATAATAATAATATAGAACAAAAATAAATTATTAATAATATAGAACTAGATGCCCTTGATAGGAGAGTCCGTACATTGCTGACTGCATTTCGAATGCTCCACCCACGTTCATCGGTTATGAGATTGTATATCCCGCGAAAGCTAGGGGGTCGCGGATTATTAAATATCAAGACCCTACACAATCGGGAGATATGCAATCTCAGAGAATATTTTCTACATACCGATGTGGGAATGCATCGCAATGTAGTTGCAGTGGATATCGGATTCACCCCGCTCGCTCTGGCTAAAGAGAATTGGCGCAAACCTGTAGTATTTAGTACTAATGATCGTAGGGAAGTATGGAAGGGCAAAGAGCTCCATGGTCGGTTTTATCGGGCCCTAAACGGGTCCGATATAGACTTTAAAGCATCTACGACTTGGCTACGGTATGGTGATCTCTTCGGAGAAACTGAAGGTTTTGTTTGTGCGATTATGGACGAAGTTATCATGACGAATAACTATCGGAAATATATCCTGAAAGATGGTACGGTTGACATTTGTCGGGCATGCCACCGTCCTGGGGAATCAATCAGGCATATCATTTCTGGTTGTTCTCGTCTTGCTAACGGTGAATATTTGCATAGGCACAACCAAGTAGCCAGGATTGTACACCAACAGCTTGCCCTTAAATACCATCTTGTGAATCTAGAGGTGCCATACTACAGGTATGTGCCCGACCCAGTTCTCGAGAATGGCCGGGCCACGTTGTATTGGGATCGATCTATTATTACAGACAGGACTATTGTTGCTAATAAGCCTGATATTGTAGTGATAGATCGATTAGAGCGCCGCGCAATGATTGTTGATATCGCCGTTCCTCATGACGAGAATCTCGTGAAAGTTGAAAAAGAAAAACAAATAAAATATTTGGATTTATCTCACGAGATTGGCGATATGTGGAATGTCGATTCAGTGATAATTGTTCCGATAGTCGTATCTGCTCACGGATTGATTGCCAAGAGCCTCGACCAACACCTTAAGAGGCTCACGTTGGACGGCTGGATCAAGGGTCTGATACAGAAGGCAGTCCTCCTTGACACGGCTTGTATAGTGAGGAGGTTCCTATCTTTGCAGTCCTAACCACTGGTGTCTTGGTACCTGTACCCGATGTCGGTGGTCTACTATTTTTTATATTTTTAAATGTATTTTTATTTCTTTTGTAATATATTTAAAAATGTAATTAATATGTATATATAATTTAATAAAGAGAATAATAATATAATATATTCTACTAACGCATGCACTTTTCATATTCTACTAATGTTGTACGACTAATGGCCTCCCGATGACTTGTCACTGATACAAATGTTGTAGATGTCTTTGTAACAGTTTGGTAACGGTACAACGGCGTAAGAAAATAATATATTTAATTGGCCAGGTATGCCAATGTTGTTGATATCACCATTGATGACCTATATTACTATATCAACAGTCTATTGACACTGAATTAATTTTAGTAGAATACTCATATTTTAGCCAATATCAATGGCGTCTCTATGGCATCTCAATAGTGTGTCAATGGAATGACAGTGGCTTGGCGTTAACATAAAATAGCAGAATTGAGGCCCTGTTATCTGGCAATTACAACAAATTAACAATTTTCATGCAATTTCAATCTTTATTTCAGGACACATGCAAGTTAAAACAAGGAAAGATTACTGGCACAGCAAAAGAGTGTTCTTTGCCACTCCACAAGTTATTTACAATGACATGAAGTCAGGTATATGCCCTTGCGATAAGATTAGGTGTCTGGTCATTGATGAAGCTCACAAAGCCCGAGGAAACTATGCCTACTGCCAGATTATATCCACTTTAGATGAGATGGGGCACAAGATATACCGATTATTGGCATTATCGGCTACACCAGGCAGTAAAGTGGATGATGTAATTAATGTTAGTATATGCTGGTCCTAAATAACAGTGTACTTAAATTTTGCCTTTAGCAAGTTTATAGACATAGACTTGACATAATTATTTGTAAATGTTTAAACTTAGTTGTAAAACAAAAAAGGAAATTTGAAACAGTCTCTTCTTTTTCGAATGAAAAATTTCTGTGTTGCTAAGATTCAGGAATATTTATTACAGGTAGTGAAGAACCTTCATATAGCCCATCTAGAACTTCGTACAGAGAACTGTATAGATGTGGCTCCATACAGCCATGTGCGTAAGATCAACACTGTTGTAATAAAACTATCACAACAATTAAACATCCTGAGACAACAGTATGTGGAGGTATACTAGAAAGTTAATTATTACTATATATTCTATAGATTACGAATTTGGCATAACATTCCTTCATAAGCAGTCTGTATAAGTGTAATTGTATAATTAATATTCATAAAACAAATAAATAAGGATTTTTAACATTTTAGGGAAAATGTATGTGTTGGTTCTATTTATTTCCAGCTGTGCTTCTGGTTATACATATTCCATATAAAAGACACTGAAGTCCTTATTGGTTACCAAAAGAGGTTTTGTAATAGCCTAAGTAATCTAACATGAACATGCTTTACCTCACACAATATGTTATGTACAAGGTGGGGTCCATTTGAAAAAAATACTGTGTGAAGGAACATATATGATGTAAAATTTAATGAATAGATCCTTTGATGATTCTGTCTTACCATTCTAATGATTGAAGTATGTAGAATATCATTTTCTGATTTTAGATTTTAGATGGATATGCCAGAAGATTGAAGCAACTGAATATATTACCTCATAACATTGGGAACCTGTCAAAAGGAAGGATTGTGATGCTATACAAAGAGTTACAAACCAGAGATCATGGAGCCAGGTTAGCATATTAAGTCATGTTTAACTTAACAATTCTAGTGCAAACTTATATCTAAAATTTCAAACCGTTACTTGCTTTGAGTTTTGCCTAAAAAAAAAAAAATAATAAGAAAGCCTTTATTTCCGAAATAATTTCATGTTACATGTTTTCGTGTCTTAGTAAAAAAAATATATATTTATAGAAAAAAAAAAAAAAAGATTCCATAAAAAATCCGAATCAAATCACTTTCTAATAGGCAATATGCCTCAACCTGCTTACTAACACTCACTACTAGTACAGTATGAGTTTTGTTGATTATTAGGGTTGTTGTGTAGATAAGAAAACCATGTTGGCAACACTGCTGTTGCTACAAGTGGTCTTTATTTAATTTCGTAAGTGGTAGTTTCGTAAGTTTCACTTCCTTTCCAAGTATCAGGAGTGTCTTAGCGCGCGTATATTATTATAAAGTTATTTCCATTTTCAGGCATCCTCAACATAATTATATAATGAAGGATTTCACACTTTTAATAGCCTTATACCACGGCTTGGAGCTTTTAGTTCAACATGGTTGCAGAGTGTTCCTCAATTTCTTTGACGAACATCCTGAAAAGTCCTGGATACAGACTGATGACAGACTGACAGCTCTACTGGAAAGGTTACGAGATGACCTTGGAATCAATCCATTGTCTTTGGATCGGAGTATGTTACCTGATGGCAGTGTGCCTGAGGTAATACTGAGCAGTTATTTAATATATTTTAATCTTAACAAAGCACAATATCTTTTGGAACCCTATTTCAATCTCGGAAAAAGCATGACAGTAAAAGCTGTAAACGAACATCTTATCATCGCAGTTTTACTTTCTTAGCCCCAAACTATATAATAGGGTTAATAGGTTGCTAAATATATATCCCCTAACCTATAAAAAATGTAAGCACAAATTGATAGTGTGGCTTCTTTCCTTAACGTACAGTCAGTCTGAAGACATCATAGCATAAAAACGTATACACCTTACACATATCACACATACGTCAGTGTATGTGTGATGTGTGTAAGGTGTATACACTCACCTACACTTAACATACACTCGCCTACACTTAACATACACGCCTACACTTAACACACCCGCCTACACTTAACATACACCCGCCTACACTTAACATACACTCAAACACCCTTTACACAAGATAGGTACCAAAACACATTTAATTACTCATGGTAAAAATTGTAAACTTAGTTGTAAGTACTTGTACTGTGGGAGTCGGATGTGGGCGTTAATGGCTACGACACAATTTATACTACTGTAGCCATTATCGTATATTTATTGTGAAAATGTAACAAGGTCTTGAATAAAGTATTATTATTATATATCTCTTAGCTCATGTGAATCATCACTATATGATTTAGTAGTTAATTTAATGTAGGTAATTGCTTATACATTCATTCAATTAACGTTCATTCTATTATTATCGACAAAGAGCCGATATGCTTATTTGCCATCTCATTGGAATAAAAAGTGTTCTGAATAAGGTGTGATGATGTGTGCTATTGTTTAAAATGTCGATTCTCGTGATAGACTTCTCAAAGTCAAAGAATAAAACTTAGGTACTTGTAATTTTGAAATGTATCACAAAATTTTGAAGTCAAATGTAGTTCGTTTAATTTAGTCTGTTTAATGTATCTATGACAAAAAAGTTAAATGCAATTTTCTATTTCAGATACCAACAAATATATGCTTTGGACATCCAAAGTTTGATAAGTTGAAAGAGATTATGATGGCTCATTTTACAAAAGCCGAAAATAATAAACAAGATACTAGAGCTATAGGTATGTGGTAACATTTATTGTGATTGCCCGATTGATCGACGCCATGATCATACATTTATAAATGAAATCGTCTAGAGGGCGACTTTCGATCGTTTTAAATACACACTTCTTTTAATCTCCTAAACTGGTAATTTTTAATAAAGCATATTTTACAGTGTTCTGCGAATACCGTGAGAGTGTGAACCTGGTACACTGTCTGTTACTACAGTGCCGGCCTCTCATCAAGCCACAAATGTTTGTCGGACAAGGTGCTTCAGGTAAGATCATTTATATGTTACCATAAAACTTAAAATCACACTCCTATAAACATAATTCTGATTTTCCATAAACTGCTATTAAAAGCTCTACTTGGCTAAGATTGTTTTTTAAGATAAAGTCAAAGATTAAAAAGATGTCCTTATCCTTGAATTTCCATGATACCGACCGATACAAAATTTCAATTTAAAAGATTGAAATTCCCAACCCGATTGGCGTTTGCAATTACAATCAATAAAGCTCAAGGTAAATCTATAGAACTGTGTGGTTTAGATTTAGAGACGGATTGCTTCTCATATCAATAACTCTATGTTTCATGCAAAGTTCTCGTATCGTAAAAAAGAAAACGACACCTCTGTGGTTTGTTTGGCTTTTCTTCCCAGGGTGAGTCTTAGAAAATACCGGCGCCTTCTAGCTGTAAGGTCTGACTTGTAAAAATATCTGAAAATATTTACTTGCAGCAAAAAATATCATTTATCATTTGTCATATTGTATACCCACAAGTATTGCAAAATCAAACTTCTATGAAACATATTCTTTGTTTTGTTTCTCATTTCTACTCCATACAACCTCAATGTTGCCCGGCGAAGCGAAGTAGCTCTACTTCTAAATAGCGTAGTTGTTGTATATTTTTGATGATTGAATGATAAACCAGCTTGAAGTTATTATAAAATAAACAATTAACATTTAGTCTAAGGACTAAGTCTCACATTTAAATATCAAAGTTCGAGTTGTATGCATCCTTCATTCGCAGGAAAAGATGGCAAAACGATGGTTTCTCAAAAACAACAACTCCGAGTGATGCGCAGTTTCCGTGAGGGCGCGTGCAACACGCTCGTGGCCACGTGCGTCGCGGAGGAGGGACTCGACGTGGGCTCCGTGGACCTTATACTGTGCTTCGATATATCCACTAAGTCGCCCATACGACTCGTACAAAGGTAACATCTTTTAAATAAGAATCCATACAGCAAATAATGCATGGATGTTGCGTGTCTAAACTAAACTCAACTACGTGTCCATTTTTTAAACGTTTTTTTACTTGATCTTCGCTAATTGTGTGAACTGCCTCGGTTTGCCTCCCACCCCATCCCCCTATATCCAGGGCAGCTCTTCTATCCAAACGCACCTTACACCGGCTCTACTGTCATTAAATCGTACAAGGTCACCGTTTTCTTTATTTTCCTACTATAGCTAACACTTTATTATTACAGGTGCGGGCGCACTGGGCGAGAACGCGGTGGTCAAGTGTACATACTAGTCACTGAAGGAAGAGAACATCAGGTAGATAATCTTCAAAAATTATTGTGACTGACTATTTTTATAAGTAATATTATTGTAATTTTCTTTTTGAAAAATTTATAACCAGCACCTATGCTGTGGAAAGTGGTCAAAAAATTTTAAAAATATTTTTGATCACCTTTCAATTAGATCATTTCAGCATAAAATTACAACTTTTATTAAATACTTTGTCAGTACTTTTTTCTTTCAACAACCAAAAAACTCGTGCTGTTTTAGACATTATTGGACTGCATGCGACAAAGAGATGGTCTAAACAGACTTATATCACAATCTAAAGAGGTGGAAAACAATCTATATAAGTCAAATCCACGTATGATGCCGCGCGACTTCACTCCGCAATGTCAAAAAATGTTCATCACCGTGGAGAAGAAAACTGACCCTAAGGAGAAGTTTAAAGAGGGAGTCGAAAAGGCTAAAAAGGTTAAAAAATTACATCTGTAGATTTTTAGAAGCAAACTGCATCTGGTCCAGTCATGTACCACGTCGTATAAAGACATTAGCCAATAATAATAATATATAATAATATAATATTGTACCACATTCACACAACGCCATCTAGTCCCAAACTAAGCAGAGCTTGTACAATGGGTACTAGACAACTGATATAAATACATATATACTTTCTTTTTGTAAATACATACTTATTATACATAGAAACACCCAGACCAAATCAAACATTAAATGTTCATGCACACAAATGTTTGACTTGAGCGGGAATGGAACCCGCGACCTTTGGAATAGCAGTCCGTTACACAAACCACTACGCCATTCGGTCGTCAATAATAATAATATATTTATTTGTCAGAATATGGGTATACAGAGTTGTTGTATATATATGGGTATACAGAATGTAGGACATTCTACCATTGTCTGGTGAACAAAATGTTTTTATTGTATATATTTTTTCATCTAGGTACAACATTATGATGCATTATTACTTAGTAATAAGTAATAATGCATCATAATGTACAACATTATGATGCATTATTACTTATTACTATGTCACAATTTCTTATCGTCAAAAAATTCTTCGATACTATAGAAACATTTGTCTAAGTGCAACGTAAATAATTTTCTTTTAAAAACATTAATAATATCTTCCTTAAATCTATTTGGTAATTTGTTATAAATGTATATATACATGCCATACGGTATACATTCTTACTATACATATTTACTCTTTGTGTGGATACTAATAGTTTTTGTGTATTTCTGATTGACCTGGCGACGGCGTCGTTATGTTTGCCGTTGTGCATGTTGCATGTTGGTGCACAAAAACACAGATTTCGTGAATATACAGACTAGGTAGTGGTAGTATGTTGTATTTCTTGAAATGCTCTTTGCAACTATCTGCTTGCTGTAACCTGGATACATTTTTTTTGTACAAGAAATGCCCTATTTGCCTCAACTGAATTGCCCCATATTATAATCGCATATCGTAATTTTGACGACACATAGCCGTGGTATGCACTTAAAGCAGTGCCAGTTTCTAGATATAATTTATTACTTCAGGCAAGAACTTGCTTTATTCGATATTTTGCTACTCAAATGGAGCACGTGTATCAGGTCCCAATATTTATTAATTTACCCTGCTGTAAAATATATTGCACTTAAAATGCTTATTAGGATTTTTGAAAGTATAATTCCATACCGGGTAAGCCGCTTCGTCCCGCCACTTAGCATTTTTTTTCTGCAAATATTTTAGTGCTTAGAAGTAGGATAAATTTCTACCATATTTAATATATTTGTGTTTATTTAGGGCCAAAAGGATTTACGTAGTATGCTCTTCGGGCGAGCTTCTGCGAGTAGCACGAGTTCTATTAACAAGGGAACGGATAGCAGCGATTTAATAACTGAGAAGGAATTTAAAGAACTGTTTCCCGAAGGATACAGTGATACGAATTTACTACCTACACTTAAGGAGTATTGGGCAAAAAATAAAGGTGAACTTTATCTTACCAATAGAAAAAGGCGAAAGTTTGTATGGATGTTTGTTATTACTGTTTCACGGAAACACGGCTGATCGGATCTGAGGGCCAAGTGCGAGTTTACTTCAATTCTACTCGATCGAACTCAAAGGACTTAATGACACCGCTGTAATTCAAAATAGAATTGTTTGTGGAACATCAATTCACAAAAATATTTCAATGTTTTTCAGACTCATTCAAACATATTGAAGAACCAGAGGAAAGTATGTTAAAATTAACCAGGTGGTTAGAATGGCAACGGACTTTACAGAAAACTGTAAATGTAACACATTCGAAAGATTCAGAGATTCTATCTGAACTATTACAGTATGCTGATGCTAAAAGATTTGAAACGCCAGTTTCTACTCAAAATCCTGGTAAGTATTGTTTTATTTTTCGGTTTGTCAACTGAAACCTTGATATTATTACGAGTTTTACCCATACTAGGTTCTGTAAAATGTCACAGCGTTGTTTTTGATCCAACAGAGGGCCTAGTGCACGTTTATTTCACATTAACTCGCTCTCGACAGCGAGCGCGTTCGACGTTGCGATTGGTGAAGATTTCAGTTCTCGCCAATCACAGGTCGAAAACGCGGTCACCGTGACGATCGAGTCAATGTGAAATAAACTCACACATGAGTCTCAGTACTAGAGAAGGTGAAATAAACTGAGTATCTAAACCAATCTATTTCATAGGAGACTAGCTGGTGCCCGCGTGGAATTTGAAAAGCGCTGCCTTAGTGAGTTCGATTCTCGGACTAGGCAAAATTTTATAGGGTTTTTCTGAGAGAAAAATAGCCTAAGTTACTCCTTATGTAGACAGCTACTTGTTAGTAAAATATTATCAAAATCGGTCCAGACGTTTTGAAGATTACCCTAACAAACAGACAGACAAAAAATATTTAAACTGGTTTTTAGGCATAGGTATCGGGCAAATAACCGTAAGCATAAAAAAAAAACCTATTATTTTGACATTACAAACAGACAATTCAATTTTATATATTTGTATAAATGATTAGTGTGAATATGTTAGGAATGATGATGAAGAAAATAAAAACAAAGTGTTCTGCCCAATTTTATTCACGATTTAAGTTAGATAAGTTCTGTAAAATCTCTGTTAAGTCCCTAACAAAGTAACAACAAATAAAATAACTATATTGGTTCACTAATTTATTTACAGGCTTTGCTACTCAAGAATCACCTACTAAAATCGTATTAGCATCTCAAAAATTGACTCTCTCATCTCCAGCAAAAGCGAAACAAATTAAAAAGACTAAAAAAGCACCTGTTTTTAAATCACCAGGGAAAAAAGATGGTGACATTCGAGCTCTGTTCAGTACAGTGACGAAATCGACAAAAAACTACACGAAATTGATTAATGATCTAGGCATCAGAGATGACGGTGGGATTCCCACCCGACTACTTAGTTTACTTGTAGATTTGAACTTGGAGAATACTAACTCTGTTAAGAAGTGTTACATTTGCCAGAATATTTGCGAATGCTCTGCTCTTTTAAAATTAAGAACCCAAAAGAAAGCTTGCACAATATTCTCCTCTCTTCGAGAACTAAGTTTACCAGATGTAGATTTAATTGATGATTTTGACTCTGATACTGTTGTGAAATGTGCAAAAAAAGAAGATTCTAATATGAACATAATTCCTGATTCACATCATAACAACACAGAGGAACATATTAGAGCTTTAGATGTAAGTAAACAATCAATAGTAGTCCCATATATGGACACATCATTAGAATGCAAAAGTTCAGATGAAATTAAAGAAAGCGTAATTGACGAAAAACTTAATTTAAGCAATCATTTTGATCTAGAATTAGATTTTCTTGTTACACACGATTCTAAGTCTGTCATTGAAGACGAACACAAAAAGCAAAATGAATCTGTGAATTCAGATCCTTTTGACGTAGGCAACATTGAAGATATATTTGCTGATAGCAGTCCCGAAGAAGTTATAGCAAAAGAAACTGAATTGATAGAAGAACCAAAGGAAGCTAAAGAAGTACTCAATTTCTTCGGTTTAGATAGCATTGAAGATATATTTGCTGATGATGAAATTGATGACCCACTTCCTGAAATAACCCAAATGAACACTAAGAACAGTAACACAAAAAATACGAACACTTTAATAACACCAGATAAAGTACCTCCAGTTGAATATCCACTGAGTCCATCAATTTTATCCGGTCGTGTAAAAGAAAAACCAATATCTCCAATACTTTGCAGTCAATCTCGTAAATTCCAACTGAGTACAAAAAAAGGACATACTAATAGTTCAACACCCATAAACAGTTGTAAAAAGCAATTAATCAAAGAGCCAACAAACAATAATGTCATAGATAATAAAAAAATTGAAAGTTTAATAAAACATAGCATAAATGATACAAGCAGTAAGAGCATGTTAACACTCACTCAGCTTGAAGCTATAATTAATAAAACGGATGACAATATATCTGTATTAAAAAAATCTAATTTGTCCGATGCAGTGGAATTCAAAGACGATAAAAGAAGTACTTCACCTATTCTTTTAGACGAATGTGAAAGAAACAGTTCACGAATTCTTTCTAATCAAAGCAAACAAAGCTTATCCCCAATCCTATTAACTCAGACGGAAAGAAAGAGGTCGTTACTTAATATGAATAATTCAGACAAGTTGCCACAATCGACGTATCAAATGAAAAGGCACGATAGCCTCATCATTTTGGACAGTGACAGCGATTCTGATACTACACAAGTGTATGACGCTGTAGAAGAAATTACGACAAAATCAACAGATCATTTAATTCACGGGCCTTCGCAGCTGCCTCAAGTAGTTGATCATGCTTCAAGTAAAACTTATAGTCCTAACAATTGGAAAAGAAAATTGGATATGGATAATAGTGACCCGATAATAGAATCACCTCATTTTAGTAAAAAACAAAAGCTTGGTGATAAACCATTAAATGAACAAGACAAGAGTTCAACCATATTGACTTTAAAAAAAATAAACAAACATTACAGAAATGATAATACTATACTCAATTGTGCTGTATCCCAAAGTCAATGTTTGTCACAAAAGGAGAATAGAAATCCTCAGCATTTAGATATTGACAGACAAGAAGGTAGTATTAACAAATATAATTTTAGTATGTTGCAAATGTTTAGACGAGACAATAAACTTGACAAAAATGATATAAGTGCGATCCTAGAAACTAGTCCAACGAAATCTAAAACGTCTCAGAAACGCAAGTTTACCTTTGACGACAGTGAAGATGAGTTTGTAACTGACGAAAAACACACGTATAGGAGTCCTCAAACTATGAAAAGTGATAAACACAGTTCTACTACTAATCACAAAGTTCGGAAAGTAAGTAGTTAATTATATTATTATTGTTTATTGAGAATTGGTTACTTTAATTATGTGTATGAAAAATAAAACTAATTGATCTTTTTTTATTATTATAAAACACCAAGCTACTTGTTCTTCCTGTCCTCCTTTGCGCTGTTCCTTAGGTGTACATTAAAAAAAACTATTTTACTGTCGCGTAAAATTTGTTTCGAACTGCGGACACTATGTTCTTTCTCTCAGGACTATATTTTTACGTTAGTACATACTTTAACAAAGTAAATACAAAGGAATTAATAAATTGCTTTCATTTTACTGTAGAAGATAAAGAAAAACAACTCGTTTTTGGACATGGAGGCAGTGCTGTCAGATGACAACGGCGGCAGTGATGATGAACTGACAGACGACAGCGTTGGGAGCATAGTGGACTTTATATGCGATGACAGCGTCATACCACAGGAGGACATACAGGCGGTATACCTGAAGTCGATTAAGTAAGTTCATAAAAGCTGTGATGTGGTGACAATTTTCTGTATTCTCACTGATATACAGGGGGCCTCGTGTGAGTTTATTTCACATTAAGTTGCCGTCGAGAACGAGTTGTACAGTACAAATAAAAAATCCTGTTTTATTTGTCACTGTTGGTTAGGGGCTGGGAATTATGTCGGGTAATGACTGGAAATGTATTATAAAATCGACAACATTTACGGTAAATATATAGTCAAAAGTAGTATCTAGTACAAGCCAGATACTAAACACACGGCGTGTTTATATAATAGCACGCGTTAAAGATTCAATTTTGTACTAAAGTACTTTTTAAACACTTACCTATATATATATATATATATATATATATATATATATATATATATATATATATATATTATACCTCAAATAGTCAGGTGCTGTAATGTGTATGATTACTTAACATTGCAGGAGTCCAGTGAAGGCAGGTGCTTTTAAAATACCTGAATTACCAAAGAAGTATAACAGAGAAGAAATATTGTCACAAATTGTAGATGAAGATGCATACGAAATGGTATGACAGGCTTTTGAATTTTTAGTATACAGTATTAGAAGGTTGGCAATCATAAAAAAACTAAAAACAGCGGCTTAATAGTGGCACACTGTTATTGCTAAGAAATAAAATCCATTACCACCCACCCGGTAACGGCGTACACGACGGTTAGGGGTATTCGAAGAGGGGATTACAGCAAGGAAAAAAGAGCCGCTTAATCATTGCACGCGGGCGCTCAAACAGTTAGTGGCGGGCCTGCGGAGATAATGCAAGTTAAAATAATAAAAAAGTGGTTCAGCGACATTGGCGTGCTACCTAATTTTTTATCATACAAAACCATTAACAGAAATTCTTTCCTTTACAGGATAGTTTTTGCGTTGATTCCAATATCGGATTAACACAAGCAAACGAGGAAATGTCAGAGCTAGAGGTAGCAGAAATGATGTTAGAAGAAAAAAGAAAATCTAAGAAGAAGTTAAGGCGAATGTGTACGCAAGACGATAGTCCTGAGGTCAAAGTGAAAAGTAAACCAAATAGAAGACAGATACGTAGTGACTCTGAAGATAGCGAATGAACTTTTAAGGTTCTCATAGCTATTAGGTAGTTGTTGTCTTAACTGATAGATATATTTTTTATATTTCTGTAGATGGTCGCTGACTGGGTAATAGAGTTCCAAAAAGATGACCTTATTGTCAATGAAGACAAATATAAAACGGGCAGTATATTTTGGAATAAAATTAAAATAACCAGACACATACTCTTACATTTAAAAAGGATTAAAGTACTGTGCAGTATAGTTATTTTATCAATGGGTCCCTTAGAGCGCATCGAAGGTGTCAGGTGCCGGTCCAAAACTGGTCGGGCTAATATAATATGAATACTTAGCAGTTGGTTAATTTGGTGTGAAATTAATTTTCAACTGTGAAGTGGTTAGGACCAGTACTCAGCAAGTCTGGATTGTCGAACGCTTCTGTGATATAACTTTATAATCGTGTATTTATTATAAGTAGGATCTTAATTCCATAAATTTTAAGTGTAATTTGAATGATCAAGGATAATTCTATGATTCTGATTAATGAATGTTATATTTGTAATGGTGTACAGAAATGTGAATAAAAAGATTTTATAAATTATAAACTATAGTTATTTAATATTCTTGTTACTTTTGAATACAAACACATAAGCAAAAGATATCCATGAAAATCTTGTTACGCTACGCTTCCCTGTGGCAGATATTGGTTGCATTGAGAAATGAGGAATAAAACTGACCCGAAAAATATATAAGAACAATCTTTGAAGCGGTTTGTATATCGTGTAGCTAAATGGGTGCAGAACTTTTGAGTTTTTGAGGCGTACACAAGCCAGATAGAAGATCTATCTTCTATCTGGCTTGTGTACGCCTCAAAAACAAGATAGAAGATGGCATACAATTAGTGGTAAACAGGACTCGAGTTCTTTAAGTCCTAATTTAGGGACTGGACTCATTTTGGCAAAACTCCGACTAAAATGAGTCCAGCGTCCTTTCGTAGAGTCCTGATGCAAAGAGACTCGACTCATAAAACTGAGGCGCTTCAAAAAACTCGTCATTTTAGAAAATACAAAATCACAGAACGATTTGAAGAAGAACCCCTAAACGATTGTGCAAATGCGAGTTATCAAAATTAAAACAATATGAGCCTTAATTACGCACAAATTATTCCAAATTGGCAGTGATTTTAGATTCTCGAAAAAAATGTTTATTTCACTGAAACGCATGATATACTTCAAATGATGAAGAACTTAAGTGAAAATTATTTAGCAAACTTTAGTGAATAATAACTCTTAACTCTCTGTGAAAAGAATCTGCCAGAGAAAGAGAACCGAAGGGAAATTTTCTTTCTTCACTATACAAACAGAAAATAAGACCAAGTAATGAATTGGAAAAATACTTACTAATGCCCATGGAACCCAAACATACTGATGTTTTAGCATGAAGGAAACACCAAGAATTAAATCTACCGGTACTATCGAAAATGGCCTACCATATTTTAAGTGTTCCGGCAACTAGCGTGCCTAGCGAACAAGCACTTTCTGTATCGGGAAATTTTATAAACAATAAAAGAAATCGTGTGCGTTACCCCAGCAAAATAATGTCGAAAATGGTCATTTAAACGTTATAGATAATTAGTTGCTCCCCTTCTGTAATTGTTAGGCACATTTTTAAATTTGTTTCACTTAAACTTTTTTAGTTATTTCAAAAATACATTTCCTGCTGGGGTAACGTTTGAAACGTTACCGCAGCCAGACATTTTCTTTTTTAATTGTAATATTGAAATAAATGTTAGCTAAATAATTAGTTATCTGGACTAGGTAAATGTTACAACTTATTTGGTATTTGTATTTTCTTCGGCTGCGAAGTTATTCGAGATCCTGCTGGAGTAACGTTTGTGGGTTTGCTGGATCTCTGAAACGGGTCAGCGGATTGTAACCATCTTTTGTACATAACTTCTTAAGGATTAGTTTTAATTTGTTCGACAATAAAATAACAAAAATAATGGACCGTTTAAAAATTATTTAGGTAAGTATGAAAACACTTCAATACGTCCTAACACTTTGAATAAGACCTCTAAAGACTTACTTCAAACGTTATTCTATTGCTTGTTACTACCTTCAAATGTATACGAATTTTAGTAAGAATACTGTAAGTGACTAAAAAGTTATGATGAAATGTGGCTCTCCACGTTCACGATCACAATGTGTGCGGCCTTTTTTGGCTACCGATAAACCTGTGTGTGGATATATAAACTGAATGTTATGCCAATAATTAGTTGTTTAGTTCAGTTGTTCAGTTAGTCACTAAACATTTTAAAAGACAGCGCAATGTACTGGGTGATCGCTTTTTTGTAACCACCTAAACATGGTCGGGTTACCACGGTCTTGCACCTTCTAATGACTTTTATTTAATTATCTCGTAAATTATTACATGTACTACGCTGATGTACAAGCAATAGAATAACGTTTGAAGTAAGTCTTTAGAGGTCTTATTCAAAGTGTTAGGACGTATTGAAGTGTTTTCATACTTACCTAAATAATTTTTAAACGGTCCATTATTTTTGTTATTTTATTGTCGAACAAATTAAAACTAATCCTTAAGAAGTTATGTACAAAAGATGGTTACAATCCGCTGACCCGTTTCAGAGATCCAGCAAACCCACTAACGTTACTCCAGCAGGATCTCGAATAACTTCGCAGCCGAAGAAAACACAAATACCAAATAAGTTGTAACATTTACCTAGTCCAGATAACTAATTATTTAGCTAACATTTATTTCAATATTACAATTAAAAAAGAAAATGTCTGGCTGCGGTAACGTTTCAAACGTTACCCCAGCAGGAAATGTTTTTTTGAAATAACTAAAAAAGTTTAAGTGAAACAAATTTAAAAATGTGCTTAACAATTACAGGAGGAGAGCAACTAATTATCTATAACGTTTAAATGACCATTTTCGACATTATTTTGCTGGGGTAACGCACACAAAGAAATCGCCTTGGAAACAAAACGATACAGACGTCTATGTGTTTAGCTTCGTGGCTTTTTTTTTGTAAATGAGCCGGTAAACAAAATATTAAAATTCTGTAATAAATTTTGTAAAAAAATATGTTGCCAATGTGTATTACCCTACCTATAGATTAGAAATTTATGGAACAGAATAGAAATAGAAGTCACTTTTCCTAAAAAGACTTCGGAACTAGCAATGAACTCGAGTCTTAAAAGTCTCTTTAAATATATTATTGTAAAAAGACTCGAGTTATATTGTGAGGACTCGTGAGTCTTGTCAATGATAAAAAGGCTTAAGCTTTTATTTACGAGTCCAGTCTAAATTAGGACTTAAAGAAATCGAGTTTTGTCCATCCATACAACCGTAATATTTATTGTCTTTTTTTTTTTTTTAAATTGTCAAATAATGTTTGACATAACTCTTCATACAAACTTTTTGACTTTTATTAAAACAAGGAAGACGAATGTAAAAATGCCTACAAATGCTGTGAGGGTATTTTTCTTGCAACTTCTTCATCGATTAGTAAGTATAAAAAAAACGTTTTTTTATTCATAATTGTATTCCATAAGTCTATTACATTTATGTGAATCTTTAAATAGGTATCCTTATACTCCAATATGAAACAAATAGTTTTATTCATCAGCAGCCACGGGTGTCGACTCTGTGTCTTTAGAATGTCGTCTTTTGTGTAGATCTTCCAACTCCGCTTGTAATTCGGCATACCTCTTTTGCAATTGCTTTTCTCGATCAGTTTGGCGGTTCACGTCTTCCGTTAACGACTATAAAAAAATAAACGTTAAGCAACAATGATAGTGTATTATTCCCTAGTATACACAGGATGTAGTAGTTATTATACATGGTGAGATGTATGCAGACATTTAGAAACTGTGACTGCCTGGCTGACTAAGTTACTTGTGACCCACGATTTTGATGAATACGTATATCGCAGCCAGTTCCCTGTTAAAACCCTAAAAGTTAAAAAATTCGCAAGGAGACTGAACATTCTTAATTGCAAAGCTGTTAACGAAAAACTTTCAATATAAAACGTACCTCTATCCTGCGAGGAATTGCAGCCTTTTCTTGATCAGCTAAAAACTTGAATGTGGAAAGCTCCAAGTTCGCCTGTTCTATTTGATCTTGTAACTCTTGAAATTGTTTTATGAGTGACGCTGCCCGACTCTGGTAACCACCTAATAAAAAAAACAATTGTTTATCCACTAATAGTTACTTCAAGTCAATCTAATCCATGCACAGTTGAAAGTCTATTCTTATTTTAATAAAGTAATTGTTTTCTTAGTAAATGTTGAGTAAAATGTTTTCTGTGAAAGTATTTAATCTAAGAACAATGTCAGTTAAAAAAATACTTGCCTGTTAAAACTCTTAACTTTTTCTCCATTTTGGAACACTTCTTAGCCTCTTTTGCCATGTGATTTCTGTTCTGTTCGAGCCTTTTCTCAGCAGATTCTAATCTGTCTTTCTTGCTCGCTAAGTTCGCGCGAGTATATCTGTTTTGCCCAGGCAAGAAGAGTACCTAAAAGTAGTAGATTATTGTAAGGTTATGTCGTATTTGCTATGCACACTCTGTTGCATAGGATTTTGTAATCATTACTAAAAATAATTGTTAAATTATACTTTTTTGAATATTTAATTTTAAACCACAATCTAAATTGTGATGAAATAATAACATAACTCTAATTTTAAAATATGAAAATATGTTATTTCAACTTATCATAAATCGTAAGGAATACTATACAAGAAAAAGAAAATAGTGGCAATAGTGGAAAATAAAACTACTACTGCTCACCTGAGCGAGACACTCTTCCCACACTTGCGTGTACGCATCCATACTGAGCTCGCCGTGGCCCATACCGGCCTTGACCACTTCCATTTCTTTCTTCATCTCTTGCTTAGCGGCTTCGAGCTCGTCGGTCGAGAATTCTTCGTAGGGGTGATGTTCTAAGTATGCTAGGTGTGAAGCTTGCAGTTGAACCGCTCGTTTTTTATCAACGCCTGTTTATAGCGATAGATAAATGGTGTGAGTTTTGCGATTCATTTTTATTTGACCTCAATCGGTAAACTAATATTCGTTAGGACGCGACGTCACCAGCGTAACGATAGACGAACGGCCCGTTACCTGGGGGCGGGTCCCGCAGCGCGTCGTAGTGCAGCATGGTGACCATCTCGGCCTTGAGCAGCTCCTCGGCGTGCTGCAGCGCCGTGAGCGAGGGCGCGGCGCCGCGCAGCACGCTCCCGTTCACGTCCGCGGGCCGCACGCAGCCGCGCTGCACCGCCCGGGAGCGGAGCTTCAGCGCCGCCGCTCCTGCACGCACCATCCGTTACTTTCAATTTTTTTCATTTATTCACTTATTACGCATCTGAAATACTTTTTTTTTAATATATTAAAATCTGACAAACCGTAAAAACAGTTTGTCGGCAGAAGTTCTCGTCAGAGGATACATAATATATAAATGTAAGTATTTTAATTCAAAATTTGTTAATCATTCAAATTATTGCATCGACTACACTAACAGACTATGTCTCAAAAGTAAGAAAAAGCAATAAAACAACAATGCGGGTGTTAGCTATTAATTTTTTGAGTTTATTTTCAAATTTATATTTTAAATCCTTACAATTAGTTATTTACCTAAGATGGAACGAAGTTTATTACAAACGTTGCTTACATGTAGGTCCCATGTTAATGTATCGTCCACCACTAGTCCTAGGTATTTTTAAGAGGTGACTCGCTCCAAAGTTAAGAATCGACAATGTTGCATATAGTTATGCATACATTCATACGTATGGTCCTTTACAGTAATTAAAAATTCTATGTTTAGGATAAGGGGAATGTATGATCATGCACTTAGTTTTATTCATATTTATTATGATGCCATTATCATGGGCCCAATGTACTAAACTATTAAAATCGTTTTGCATGGCAAAATGACATTTGCGTATTTTGAATTTTCTATTTTAGAAGTATTATAAATATCGCCAAGAATTGCACACATTTTTGTATATAATTCGTTAGGATCTTGTATTTGCAACAACAATGACCAATCAGTACTATTAAGCTTCTCTCTTATTGCCTTGTACTAACTCTCAGCATTTATTTGTTTATCAAGTGCAACTGAGATACCCGTTACGTAATGGTCGGCTATGCGGATCGTGAGTGTATACGCGTGGACATCGCGCGCCCCGCCACATGCATTCCGCATGAAGACGTGATCGATGCATGACGCCACTCGCCGCTGCCCGACAGCAGCCTCGCGTGTTATATCTTGAATGCCGCATTGAAGTCCTAAGTTTGCTAGTGAATTTAGGTATCTGTTTGCTGATAGGTCCAGTTCGTTCACCAATAAATTAATGTTACAGTCGCCTACCACTATAAAGTCAGTGTTCGTTGGTAACGCTCCTATAATGTTTTTAATTCTTTGGTAAAAGTGCGTTTGTTTGTGTTCAGAAGCCTGTATATATTAACAAATAAGTATTATATGTGTTCCAAAATGTTGACCACATATCAGCTCAAATGTCGAGGCAGTACGACACTGTATTGGGTTGTATTGTAGATTATTTTTCACATAAACAAGTATTCCCCCTCTTAGTTTTTTTTCTCGGGTTTGTGAGTATATATTAAAGCAATTTATTGTGTACAGGGATACTTCATCATGTCTAATATTTACTTCTGTAAGACACAGTACATCTATCGCATTCAAAGCACTTTGTAGCAAGACCATTAACCAATAAAAGTGCCTTCTAGTGTGTAACAGTTATTTTTTTGTACATTTGTATGGTCTTGTTAAAAGCTACATCTATTAGCCGCGTTGCATTGTTTTTAATTTATCTAAGGTAGTTTATAACTACAGTTTTGATCTTCTGTGTTCACTGATGTTAAATGTCAAAGTAAAATGTTGAGTAGGGATAAAGTCTGGAAGCTTCCTGAACCTAGGATATATAAGTCCGGCTTTCTTCCACGGGAGAGACTGCTATCTCGTGCCTTCCGATCTTATATAGTGTTTTGATTGCTGTGTGATTTGATTTTCTTAGTATATTATCTGTTCAAAAGTACCCACACTAAAGTGGGTCCCAGATTTCGGGGTCAAGACGGTCAGTCTTAGACGGCGTGCTTGCTCTTTTGTGGCCTTCTGGTACAGACTCAAGTTTCTCGGTACCCTCTGGCAAAGCTGGTGATTGCGCGGCTCACGACGCAAGCGGACAGCCGTACCCAAGAGTTACGTACTTAAACTTATAATTGTAATTTCTTAAACTTTTATCCATATCCAATATAAATAGCCGACTCGGGCGGAAGAGGAAGTAACCTCCTGGAGGGACGACGAGGAGGCACCGAGCACCATCAGCTCGGCTCTAACGCGCACCGCTGCGGTTTTTTTTTTTTCTTTTTATTGTACCCACACTGTTTTATTAGTTTAATTTGATCTACTTTCTCTTTGAAATATACATGTATGTATAACTGAGGTGTAAGTTGTTTTCCTCTAAAGAGTCCCATAGGTTTCCCACACGCACACACTTCTATTCTCATACAAGGCGCCCTGAGGTAATCTCTTGAATCTCTCCACTGGGTCAGCCGGTGAGTAGTCCGCCAGAGAGGAAAAGCGGCTACAAGTGGAACATATTTCGATGCTGATAATTTGTAGCTTAGTGTCCGTTGTGTTTATATTATATAATTGTACCATTCCTTAATTTCTGTGAATTTTATGTATTCAATACCAAGTACTAATTGTCGGATGTGGTGACCCGCCATTGAGATATACTGTTAGGTGGTTAGTCCAGTAACATAACATATTTGTAAATTAAGGTAGGTTTATAGTTATTCTTAGTCCTGTTGTAGATGGGTTTCATTTTTAAAGCGTATCTAATGTATCTTCTTTTCGTGATCATCTTTTTTAATTAATCTTTTGGAATTCTGTATCCGTATATATTTATAAGTACTCTTTAATTTAGTCTTTGTGGCCCAAAATTGTATAATTTGGCGTGTGATATTTCGTTCGTTTATAAATATACGTGAAGTGTCATTATAAGTGTCGTATATCATGTTATTTGTAAGTTGAGATTTTCGGCATTTAAGTCATTCTGCTCTCGCAGCTCTCGTACAAGCGTTACAATTACAGGTCGGACACCTTTTCTATCGGAACCTACCCTCCACGCGTTTTCGATCTCTGATTATCTAATTTTAAGACTCCGGCGCATTTTTTTACCAATTCTATTATTGGCCTTCTTGCATTATTAAATTAATTAGTTCAATATTTTTATCCAATTCCTTTTGCTCCAATTATCCTACTCTTTCTTATAGTGCTTTATTGCATTTTTCTAGGTTTATATTTCGCTGTATCAAATCTTTGTATCAATTTGCCTTATTAGTTTCTGTAGTTTAAATATTTCCATTTCATCGTACTGGAATGCAAGATAAGTTAAGGTCTTCTCAAAATCAGTATGATTTTTTTTCAACTCACCCACTTGTGACTTAATGTCCGACACATTCTTCTGCAGCAATAAGAAGCGTGAATCTTGTTCTTCTTTCATCGATTTAAAAACAGTATTAATTGCTTTGACTTCTTTATTAATAGCTTTTATTGTTAGCAGGGCATTGTCATTGGAGCAGTCGGCTTCGTGCCGTCTAGGTTCTTGCGAAATTGCTGTCACTGCTGTTTTGTCATTTCGTTTTTCTTCTTACCTTGTCGTGTTCCAACCCATTTAGTTGTGAGTGTTTGCCTACTTTTGGCAACCAAAGCTGATCTGTACGAAGAAGGGACTTCTGCTTCTGCAGTTTTAGTGGGAGTTTGAGAAATCTTGGGCATTGACACTGACGCTACTCCCGTAACCCACAAAAGTCCGTCCGTTCGCTCGTACGAACACCGAGAACTTCACCTCCCGGATACATTATCGGACTTGAACTAGTCTAAGCGAACGATATACTTTTTTGGATGGATACTTTTTTGAATTTAGACATAAACCCTAAAAAAAGTTAGTCTCATAGTCAAAAAAAAACTATTATTCTTCTTCTATTTTTCAATAGGAAATATGTATTTTATAAAACAGCAAAACATTAATTTTGCATGGTTGCTTTTTTCAACGTTAACTAGGTTTATTTGTTTGAATACTAGAAATATGTATTGTATGTATGTATATAAAATAGGTTGCCCATAATGTAGGTGATTGCGACATATGCTCAAAGTAAATAATGAAGTTTGTACTGACGTAATTCCTCCTGTTCTTGTAACAACCTGGCGTCAGCGTCGGCCTGGTCCTCGACCCTCATGTCGTTGACGGTTCCATCCATAGGCTCATCCTCTTGGTCCGGAACCACGATTTCATAGTCGTTGCGAGGTGTTGGCAAGGACGATAATGCATTGCGAACTGACGCTTTTTGCTGAAATATTATAGATATTTCAAGATATAAGAAATCAGTATATTTAGGTAAGCATTTTATACTACTGGCAGACATTGGCCACTAACGCGAACTAAATAGACGTATTTACAATCTTGTTTACAGTTTATTAAAATAAATAAATAACAGCTTCATGACTATTTATGGAACTGTTTCTTAAGTGATAGTAATTGTCGTGATTAACACTACATTAATCTGAATATTATTACTGTAATACTGCGCTAAAGCTTTGAACAGATACACTCTTGCATTCAAGACTTCATCCACGTCATGAAAAAAATCGAATTAATATTAACATTATTTTGAACATAAAGATGTGTTTCAGCGTTTCAGTGCCTATTTTCACTGGATATAAGTAGTGTATTCAAAACGTTTATTTAAATTGTTACAGTCATTGATAGTATATACAAACAAGAGGTAGATACGCCACCATTGCACAAGTGTGCTGAGAATTGGTCCTAATTAAGACCACTGCGAGCGAGCGCACGTATTAATTAATTCGAGAAAATTCATAAAATGCACAGGCATTTTGGACATCTTTCGGAATACAGATTCCGAAAGAGCACAAATTACGACAAAAAGGTAAATAAAAAAGTAATATCATACCACAGGTAAGTGTATGTTTTATTCTTAAATGTATTGATAGATGTATGTATGTACGGTTATGGAACAAATATTTTGTGAGTGCAGTAGGAATCTTCGAAACGTATCTTCCTTTAAAATATCATTGGTTACAGTCATATTTTATAGTAACTTATGAATAATAGTCATGAATTTAATTACCTGTTTTTGTAATTGATTTTGCATCTGCGGTGTATCACCTCCATTCAGTCTATCTTCTGGGTTAATACTCAGTTTGTCGCGAAGTCCTGGTGTCTAAATAGATATAAATACATTAGTAAAGTTCAATAAACAAAATATAAATTATAATTCTTATTGTACGTACGGCCAAGGCAGTTTGATTTCCTCCTTGACTGGGTGTATTGAAACTGCCAGGTGTAGATACTTCAGTGCGTGATGATCTGGAATGCATGCACATATCATTAGCTTCATTTTTATATTATTAATTTATTTTATACATGTTATCTAAGACATTTGATGGGACTGAAATAAAAATACATGCCATTAGTTACAAGTATGTTATTTATAATATTAATATATTTATAATTTTCTTTTCCCTTTATTGTAGTTTTTAATTGTCTGATCAGATATTATGAGTAAATAATTTAAAATTTTGTATGGTATGAAGTAAAAATTTATTACTTCATACAGGTTATTACAGCTTGGTGCCTTATTGACATTTAATGAAGAGAAACGAATTAAACTTTATACTCACCGGAATGGGGTGACGAGTAACGTATTGGGTGTAGCGGCAGTTTGCGATTGTGGTAGGGCTCCAGAGAAGTCTGGCTGATGGAGGGGGGTGTTGAGACCTCCTTTCAGAGGAGTATCGACGTGGGTCAGCGCCATTACATTCTGAGCTTCCATCAGGATTCTAAAACGATAAGCACTCGAATTCAATAACTACTTATGTAGGTAAATTCGCATATGCAGCATCGTGTAAGGAGTTTCGCATTCTTTTTAGTAATTAAAGACGAAACTTTAAAAACCTATTTATATAGATGACTGATGTTTTCAGAGTCATTTACGTAACTAGCTTTTTTATAAAAAAGAATAGAAAATTCTACAATTTTGAATTTACATCTCTGGGTTTTTATAACGGACTCCGCCTCACGGCGTCTAAACATAGTGCGTTTGGTGTCTATTTTTTGTGTAGCATAATGTAAAGCGGCGCGTGGGCGGCAGTGCAGTACCTGTCCTGGTGCTGCAGCGGCGTGCGCAGCGCGTGCGGCGCGGCGGGCGCGAGCGCGTACTCGGCCAGCAGCGCGTCCGTGGCGCCGCCCCCGCCCGCCGTCTCGCGCGCCGCCTCCGACGCGCGGCCCAGCTTCACCACCTGCTGCAACTCCTAAACGCACGCGTTTTGCATTTCAAACTTTATTTACAAACGGTTTGCCTTTCGACCTGTCGGTTTCATTGTTTCATATTATATTGAATTACAATTGTTTTAAAAATATACAGTCTAAATATACAATTAAACGAATGCAGACACGATATAAAAATTGTCCAAGAGAATGAACGTTCGAATAACCTTATTCGATTTAAACGAATAATAGTTTCGACAAAAAACATTGCACATTCTAAAGTAAGACAAGTATGTAGTTGTATTAGTATTGCATTCCACATGTATAAAAATATTAGTCCAATACTGAGTGGAGAACGTTATAGGCGATCGTATCTGACAGATTTTCAATCAATTCAATTTCGTAATTTAAAAGTGACCATTTTCACTCATTTTCTTCTTACACAACTCAAGCATTTTTGAAAACAGAGGTTAATTAATTGATACACACATTTTTTATTTTGTTAATTTTACTTTGACTAAACCACCCATTATTAAGATAATGTGGCTTGCATTATAAAATCAATAAAATCAATCAGTCAATTAAAAAATCAATATAAAAGACATAGAAAATAAAAAAAACTAACCTGATCAGTAACTTGTGGTTCTGGCAACACCAGCTTGCTACGCTTCCTCGCTGGCTGGTCTCCCATTAGCATTGCTTGTGGCACATCATTTTCCTTACGCTGCTTCAGCTTCTGCTTGTCCTTGCGCCTGTCCCTCTGTAAAATACATTTATATGTTTATCATGAGAAACTCAGTTATCATATGCTTATAGTTTCTATAACCTCATATGGTTTAAGTGGTCTTGTAAGACTCAAATATTCTATTAAAATTTGGTAGCTCACCTCCTCCTTTTCAGAATGTAGTTCCCCATCAAGATGTTGCTGCCTCAAGCGTGAGAAGTCAGGGGCCATTGGATCTACCACTTCAGTAGATGTGTCGTAGAAACCAGCCGCAGGCTTCTTCTCGAATGGAATCTCAGAATTATAATCTACTCCACGTTTTTTCTTGCGCCTGAAGCCACACAAATTGACAAATGCTAGTTGACTTTTTAACACATTTTCGAAAAAGATATACCTCATTTCTTAAAAAGCAGTAAAAAACGTTGATGTGAACTGAACTCGAAATATTTGAATATTTCAGAAATCCACATCTATACATACCTAATAGGCACAGCAATCCCAGCAGCACTAAGCTCCCTCCTCTTCTGCAGAGCAGCAAGGCGCCTTGCCTCTTCCAATTGTTTTTCACGGGCCTTTCTCTTAGCTTTCTTGCCTTGCGTGTTAGCCAAACGCGCACGCGCCTCCGATAACATTTCGAGTTCTATCAAAACATAAAATAACTAACTACCTGTTTCATATTGATTTACACAGGTAGGGCAAATTTTTGTACAACTTTGTGTTACAGTTACCTATAAGTATTCACAAGGATCACTCAGTACAGCAAATTTAAAAGCATTGAATTACTCATAACTTTTTAACAAAGGTATATGAGTTATGATATTTATTGTACAAATATATTCGGAACATACATTTTAGGATATAACTAGATGAATAGAAAAGACACCTAAACCTTATTACCTCTCAGACAAAATAGTGTCTGTACTGAGTGATCCAATGATATTGTCATAGAAACCTGGAATTAGCTTTAAACGCCTTGATGTTTTTCTTTAAATATTGCGATAATTTGGTAACAAATTTTCTGAAATGAAAATTTTGCCAGTAGAGTAATTTTTTGTTGAGATTTGGCTCATAGCCGCTTTTGCAAAATGTCTGTATTGAGTGATCCACACTTTGGGTAATAACTAAAGACCCTTGGGAGTAACATTTTTTTTTACTTCGGGCTTTACTCATGAGTTTTGACTATTATTGATTAAATGTAAAATTAGATTTTGTCAAGAAATAAAAAAGATCACTCAATCCAAATGCACACATGTGCATTATATCACACAATATTATCATCATCATAGATAAATGAAAGATATGCTAAAATAATCTACCAATGAGAATGCCATAACAATGCCTCTTCTCAGTGGCGTTCAGGGGTTTCAAAAATGCTTTTTTAAAACCCTCTGAACATAGTCTGATAGGCTTGCTAGACCATTGATCAAAATGGGGGTTTGGACATGTCTCTGTGTGGGGTACACAGAGATTTGGGTTTCAGTGTTAGATAGCCCATTTATCGAGGAAGGCTATAGGCTATATATCATCACGCTAAGACCAAAAGGAGCGGAGTACCAATGAAGAATGTTTCAAAAACGGAGAAAATTTATTACTATTGAGAGACGCAGACGAAGTTGCGCGGGTCAGCTAGTGTCTAAATATGAGAGCTGCAATACTCAAATATTAGTTATCAGTTAGCTGATGATGATGACCAAAGACTTGGTCTAAACCAAGTCTTTGGTCATCATCATCAGCTAACTGATCCTTTTCCAATTCATTTAGTAATATCGGTGCAACATTTAACAGTGTAACAGGACAGGACACCTGCCCGAAAATAGTCCTGTTTTTAGGAAAAAATATTTTTATATTTGTATATCAAGTACCAACCAACTTACCATCTTCATCCATATCTTTAGGGTCAGGTCTGGCAGGCTTTGTCTCAGGATTCGGGTCAATTTCACCAGGTTTCAGTTTACGAGGATCATCACCCATATCCTCCCCCTCCTCTTTCTTCTGGGCCTGGTCCCTAGAGTATTTTTAAATACAAGATTATAAGAGCACATACATTTAAATAAAATAAATTGGATCGAAAAGCAGACTCCAAACAATTTTATTAATAAAACATCCTAGTTACAAAATGAATCCTTTAAAATATGTATTATGTTGGTTAATAGTTACCGTCATCATCATTTTCAGTATCATCAATTCAATATCTCAAATCTTAGTTTATTTACTTATAATGTTAATTTGCCATTATCTGTGTTACATTTGGCTTATAATTTATAAGATTTAAAACCTGCACCATTAACCTAGTTTATTTATTTATTTATAGTTAGTATGAAATATATCAATGGTTCCCATTAAAAAAGAAATAAAGCACAATCTTCTTCAACATCTTTTGAAAAAAATTGGAAGAGTACCATCTTATATTATTCAGTGGCAGTCTTATTTTTCCATTTAAAACCAAGATAATGGTAACACAACTTGGCCTGGGGAAAATTCATGTGAACTGTACATAACATATTAGTCGACTGACAAAGCTGACAAAGTTGGAACCAATACCAATGAAAGATGATAATTTGATAATTCAAAACATAGACTAGTAGAGCATGGCCAACTAGGAAACAATTTTATACATGTGAACTAAAAAGAAGTACATGTTTCCTTATACTAACAGTAAGTATTCGTATCTTTCCAGACATTGGGCAGCTGTGCGCCCAATAATTGGCGCAACAGTTCTCCATTGTGTTGGCATCAGTTTCGCTAAGTGAAGCAGCTTCTCGTCTTCTTCGCGTGACCACTCTGTCTTTTTGATGCTGGGATCTAACCACTCGTACCAACGAGCCTTGCATTGTTTAGCAGATTTTCTGTGCAGTAATGAAGCTATACGAGACCATTGATTCTTGCCATATTTCATAACCGCCGCTTTAAGGATTTCATCCTACAAATATGAAAGAAAGAAATTTAAAGAAATATTAAAGCAGAAGTATCAACCTGTATGTAATTCGGTGGTAATATACAAACCTCTGTGTTGCGCCAAACGCCGCCTTTGATCATAATCCGGGGCATATTTAGGCTTTATTTTTACTGTTGGATGATGTACAAACCTTAACCTTTAACTAATTTTTATAATATACTTGTTTTAGGCGGCGATTTACAACAACAAAACTTAATGAGAATCACACAGTACATAACATATTAGTCGACTGACAAAAGTGACAAAGTCGGAACCAATACCAATGGAAGATGATAAATTGCTAAGTTAAAACATAGACTATAGAGCATACCTTGACAACTTGGCAACAATTTTATAAAAGCTTAGTTTAACAAATTTAGTAAAAGAACCATCTATGCCTAATAAATAAGAACTAAAAAGAATAGATGCTTTTGTTTAGGAGTTGTAGTAAAAATGTCAAAGAATTTAAAAGCAAAAGACGTATAAATAAACAATCTAAAAACAAATCAGAATCGTATACTTCTGATTCACACAAAAAATGTACACCCGCCTTCGTTGCTCTTGAAATGAAATAGAAACTGTCGCTGCAATGCCACTGCAGTCCGCAGCTCAACTTGTAAATTAAATCTCTTTTTTCATTGACTAAGAACATCACTAGCTTCACGTAGAAAACCCGATGTAGAAGACTTGAGGGATATATTTTTGCAATCTAATAAAAAATAGAAGTGAGGAACTTATTTTGATTAAATTAGGATTTTGGAGTAGGTTAGATAAAAAATTTAAAACCTGCATTTAAGAGAAAAGGTAAGTTATTTTATGTTAGTAAATATTCTCATTGGAAGATGGCAATATTAAAACTATTTAGTATTTAATTTTATTTATTTCTAAGATATAGTAGGTAACGCTTCTCGTCTGCACATGGCGTTATCATTCAGTTTATCTTTATATTTGTAGAAATCTCAAATTCTTCATACTATACTCAAAGTAAACATAGAAAATAATTATAAGTAAAACATTGACAACAAGCTTATAAACAGAACCGTCACGTGTGACATGTTAGAGTCAATTGTCAATCTTGCTATTTTTTTTTTAGGCATTGGTACCAAAAGTTTAGTTGGTATTCGGCCCAACAATATATTTTCTCTACTGGAATTTTTAAGAGTAAAAAACCTCACATCATCATCACATCAACAGCCTATAACACTGCTAGACATAGGCCGCTCCTTAGAAAGGAGGTTTTGGCCCACTATTCCACGTTGGCCAGACGGGTTGGTGCAGGGTTTGTTTCAAGTTTTCCTTCTCTTTGCAGTGATGTTTTTCTTGCGTAATTTGCTCCTTTAGTCGTCTCTTACGACACTCACAAGATGAATAGGGTATTGACATTCCGTATTCTTAATCCGTCCAGTAAAAATCCATTTGTGGATAACTCCTTTCAATTCATGTTCCACCGACCACTAGTGATGGAATAATTAGCCTTCACACTAATATTTAATTGTGAATTCATAATTAGCAGTTATCAAATTAAATGTAGTCGTGAAATTTTATGAATTAATACGTACACGAAATTTCGTCATTTCATTCGTTAACCCTTAACATTCACACAGCCCGTGCTTTTCCATTCGAATCAACCGGGAAAAAATTCAATTAAATAAATCGTCATGCTAAAATATTAATACAACTGCTAATGCTAACTTGCTAAATAACCGAAAAATAAAACGCCTGTTATCACGTTGAAGTACCGATTTCGCTATTTATGAGAGTGCAAATATTCATATTTTCTTGTCTATTTTAAAAGAAATGCACGTGTTGCAAATGCGAAATGCAAATATCATTAAGTGAATTTGTAATTCCCAAGTGGCTGGGAGATTAGGTGTGTTCTATATTTGTAAATAAGAAGTTTAATTATAGAGTAGGCATAAGTAACGTATACGTACATTTGAAGTGTGACGTGTGCGTTGTAAAAAGGTATTTTGTGAATAGATGGGAATATTTTTTGTAAATATACTTATTATGTGAAATATAATATATAGTCAATTCGTCACTTAGACGAATTGACGAAGGCTAACATATCACGTTATTCGTGATATGCTAGCCTTCGTCAAATGAAAAACGTAACTTGTAGATATATTTTAATTAACCGAAATTTTTGCAATCAAAATCATCATCATCATCAGCCTATCGCAGTCCACTGCTGGACATAGGCCTCTCCCATTGCACGCCACTTAGATCGATTTTGGGCTTCTCGCATCTAGCTCCTGCCAGCCATCTTGCGCAAATCGTCACTCCACCTGGCCTGTGGGCGTCCTACACTACGTTTACCGTGACGCGGTCTCCACTCAAGAACTCGTTTTCCCCAACGGTTGTCGGTTCTGCGGCTAATATGGCCAGCCCACTGCCACTTCAGCTTGCTGATCCGATAGGCTACGTCGGTGACCTTGGTTCTCTGCCGGATCACCTCATTTCTGATGCGATCCCTTAGAGAAACGCCGAGCATAGCCCTTTCCATAGCACGTTGAGCGACTTTGAACTTGTAGACCAGCCGTACCGTAAGTGTCCACGTTTCAGCTCCGTATGTCATGACGGGTAGGACGCACTCATTAAAGACTTTCGTCTTAAGGCACTGTGGGATCGACGATGAGAAGACTCGACGTAGCTTCCCAAACGCTGCCCAACCCAACCGAATTCTTCTGTTCACCTCGTCCTCGAAGTTGTTTCTACCTAACTGCAATGTTTGCCCGAGGTACACATAATTTTGAACAACTTCGAGAACGGCACCGTGTACCGCAATCGGTTCCGGTAGTACATGTTTGTTGAACATGACCTTGGTTTTATCCAAGTTCATCCGTAGGCCGATGCGTACAGAAGCGTCAGCTAGGTCATTCAGCATTTGCTGTAGGTCCTGCAACGTCTCTGCCATGATGACGATGTCGTCTGCAAATCGCAAGTGAGAGATGTACTCGCCATTGATATTGATGCCACGCCCTTTCCAGTGCAGCGTCTTGAACATGTCCTCCATTGCATTTGTGAACAATTTCGGGGAAATAACGTCCCCTTGTCTCACTCCTCGATGCAATGGTACGGGCCTTGTTTGGTGATTCTGTACTTGGACGGACATGGTGGCGGCTTCGTAGAGACATCTCATTACTTGGATGTATCGCCAATCTACTTGGCAACGTTGCATGGACTCCAGAACAGACCAGATCTCGATCGAGTCAAAGGCTTTCTCATAGTCCACGAATGCTAGACACAGGGGCTGATTATATTCTTCGGTCTTCTGTATAATCTGCCGCACTGTGTGGATGTGGTCTATGGTGCCATATCCGCTCCGAAACCCAGCTTGCTCCGGTGGTTGGAATTCGTCGAGTCTTTGCGCAAGACGGTTCGTGATGACTCTTGAAAACAGCTTGTAGATGTTGCTTAGAAGGGATATGGGTCGATAGTTCTTCAACCTGGTCTTGTCACCCTTTTTGAAGAACAAGACGACCACACTCCTACTCCACGCTTCCGGAGTTCTCCCTTCAAACAGGACAGCGTTGAAGAGCTTTTGGAGCTCCCTTAGTACAGGTTTACCCCCCGCCTTTAGCAGCTCTGTTGTAACGCCGTCCTCTCCAGGGGCTTTTCCCATTTTTCAGCTGTCCAAGAGCCATCTCGATTTCGTCAATGCTAACTTCTGGCAGGTCTTCGGTGTAGTGACGTGTTAATGTGGCTCTAGAGTCCTCATTTTCGGGATCAGGTCGAGATGCATGGGAAGCGTATAACCGGCCATAGAAGCTTTCCACTTCCAAAAGGACTGCCGTCTTCGAAGCAACAACTTCTCCACTTTCTGTGGTCAACTTTGTCAGGTGGCTTCTTCCAAGAGATTGTACGAACACTTTTGACCCCCGATTTTGCTCGATCGCTCTTTCAATTGAAAGAGTATTGGAGCACCGGAGGTCGTGTCGTACGAGTTTACTGATCTCTCGGTTTAGAGTCCGCTTTGCCGACAAAGTGACAGGTGGGTTTTCACGTCGTTTCTTCATCAGCCCTAGGGTCCCTTCTGAAAGCTTCGACTTCCTGCCCTTACGCTGCATTTCACAAAATCTCGTACCTTCTTCCCTGAGGATCCGAACCACATTTTCGAGGTTCTGGTTTACGTCGATTGTGGTTTCCACGGCAGCGAATCGGTTTTCCAGTTTTGACTGGAACGTTTCAGATCCTGTCATGGCTTGGAGCAGAGTCGGTCGGAGCCTGGATTTCATCAAACAGACACGTTCCGCCTTAAAATTTATATTCAGAGAGCCCCGGACAAGTCGGTGATCACTACCAGTATTAAACCTATTGATCACTGAGACGTCTCTGAATATGTGCTTTCTATCCGTCATGATGAAATCGATCTCATTTTTGGTCATAGCCTTTGGGGGCTTTGCCACGTCCACTTCCTTTGGGGCTGTTTCTTGAAGAAAGAGTTCATCAAAAAGAGCCCCTCCCGTTCGAGGAAGTTGACCAGCATTTGCCCCCTATGATTCCTGCTTCCAAATCCATGGGATCCTACTACCGATTCGCCGCAATTCTGTACACCCACTTTAGCGTTGAAGTCACCCATAACAACGTTGTAGTGGGTCTTAGTTGTGAAGTGGAGGGCCCTCGATATGTCATCGTACATATCCTCCACCTCGTCGTCCGAGTGTGCCTAGGTCGGTGCGTACACTTGCACAACCTTGAGGCTATACCTCTCGGTGAGCTTGATAATGAGGTACGCTACCCTGTTCGACACACTGGAAATTTCCACAACGTTGTCAGATAGGGACTTATTTACCAGAAACCCAACGCCACCTTGGGATTGTTGGTCTCCCTCGCGGAAGTACATTAGGTGGCCTGACTCGAGGGTTATGGTGTCCTCCCCCTCTCTTCGGACTTCACATAGCCCTATGATATGCCACCTAATCTTCCCAAGTTCCACCTCAAGTTGTGCCAGATGCGAGTCTAGCCGTAGCGTGCGTCCGTTGTACGTAGCAAGGGTCAGTCGGTTGTGGTGGCCTCCCGTAGCCCGTAGATTCTTCGCACCCCCTGCCCCGCCTTTAACGGTAAAGGCGGGGCAGGGGGTGCGAAGAATCTACGGGCATCCATTCCTGGTCATGGTGGCGACCACGGGGTCGCCACCATGACCAGGAATAGCGGGGCCGCCGGGAACTGGGGGCCGTGGCCTTTGTTGCGTCTGCATGGGAGGGGTTTGCCCATAATCGCCACGCTGGGCAGGCGGGTTGGCGATCGCAGGGCGTAGCTTGTCTCACCGGTAACGCTGCTGCCCGTCACCGGCCTGTTGTATTTAGCTACGCCTATTGGGATGGATATACTGCCATCGGTCGGTCGCCAGAGCCTCGTTCGTCATTCAGCAGGATGCACCGCGGGCAGGTGAGGTTGGCTTGGGGCGAAAGATGGTGGTTCGCCCCTCACACAAAAGTCAATCAAAAGTTGCTGCTATTTTATTTTCTCCAACATTGTTACAGAAATAATGCAATATATGGTAATAAACCCTATATTGCATTATTTCTGTAACAATGTTATACCTACAAGTTACGTTTTTCATTTGCTCTCCTCGTACGAAATTGCAAAATTTGCATATAATAGTAGCATTAGCTAAGACATAAGAATTCACAATTAATTAAATTAAATCTTATTAACAATCGAGCCCATTATTACCGCTCACTACAATTTTACTACGGTTATATAAATTTTAAACACAGATTAATGCATATGGCAATTTTATTACTTTCAAAGACAAATCTACAAACATTATGATACCTACTATATGTCAAATTGATGTAAAAATTGTAAATGGGTGATAGCGTTTCTGGCACTCCCTTTTTCTTGATTAATGATAAAAAGTTAATATATTGAAGCATAAAATGCATTTATAATAAGTGACAACGTTCTGTGTATCATGAATTATTGATTTGCTATGAATGACTAGAACACTAGGATCTGGTACAACATACTGAGGTGAATATGATTCAAGCACATAGTATGTCTTGTTGATCATTCTCAATAACACAGTACATTTTAATACATTCAGTTTCTCGTGATTACAAATGGACACTATTCACAATCCACAGTGTATTTCTAATGCAGTGAGTTTTATCGACGTTTGTAATAATTAAGGATATGACAACATAAACAGGATATTCGGCATTATAGTTCGTTTCACACTCATCCCGTCATATCGCCTTAGTATTTTATACATATAGGACTTATACATTAGGACATATGTCTAAGGAGAAATTTACTCAAAACTTAAATATTGGGCATTACAATTTTTGTAAAGGACAATACCTGAACCCTGCCACGCTTGGCTGTGGTACATTGTGGTTGCATTGATAATAAATGAAGAATAAACTAACGTAAAAAATAGATAAAAACTATCTTTGAATCCGTTTGTATATTGTTTCAAAATTTGAGCTCAATAAGTAAAACACTTTTTGAGTTTTTTAAGAGTTCACAAACCAAATTAACAATATACAGTGTTACTGTGTAAGTCGACCTAAATACTTTAAGGGGTTGTAGTTGCCATCATTTCTGATAATTTCACCATGAAATACCATATCCCAAAAATAACAAATTATAACAATTGCCGAAATTTAAAGTTATTATATTAAAATTCCTTTATTTTATGCATTTTTTACTGTTTTTGAATAGGTGATAAAGCGTTTTATAATAAAAAAAATAATTGAAGTTTAGTTACCAAACTGAACCGAAGTGGATGGTTAATAATAGGAAAAAAAAATTTGGAAAGTTTATTTTTCTCTGAGAAATATTATAAAAAAATAAAATATATGACAGTTAAACTGCATATTTGTTTAAAAACATGATCATATCCCCAGCTATACTATCCTAGACTATTATAACAAGGTATAATAGTCTAGGATAGTATCAGAATTCATGAAAAAAACTTAGATGAAAGACCTGGGGTGTTAAGAATTAGCATACAACCCGGAAGTATCTTGTTCAAAACTTGGCTTGTATTTTTGGACTGTTTCGTTTTCTATTCGTAACTAACTATTGCTAAGTAGACTTTGATATTTCTGATACTACTGAAGATTACAACCTATATGAATGAGGAGTATGCTGATATTATGATTTGTTACGAATACTGCTAAAGTGTATCTGCCAGAGCCACACGATTACCTCTTCTAATCCACTTATTACGATAATTAGAAGCCAACCATTCTTTACACTTCGCCTGTAATGCACAGAGCTACTATCATGCTAAAACAACATGCCACGAATGATATCCTCAACAAAAACTCGAACAGATCAAGGCAGTATTTCACTCCAGCCCATCGCCTACAACTCTATAAGGCGCAAGTCCGGCCGCATATGGAATAATGCTCTCATCTCTATGCAGGGGCACCACAGGACCAACTTCTCCCTCTGGATCGAATCCAAAGAGCGACGAGCCGAAAGATTTGCGTCCAGCTCGATCCCTTGGTGTTACGCAGAGATGTAGCTTCGCCCTGCGTTCTCTATCGTATAAATTATGGAGAGCGCTCCGAGGAATTGTTCGGACTAATACCGGCGGCAACCTTCCGTCATCGTTCCACACGGCAAAATTTTCATCCGCACCACTTGAATGATTGGCGCTCCACCACTTTTCAAGACACTTTTTGTCTCTCACTACCAATCTGTGGAAATGTTATCGGCTGCGGTTTTTCCGGACCGATACGACCTTCAAACCTTCAAGAAAAGAGCATACTCCTTCCTCAAAGGCTGGCAACGCCCTTGTGACTCCTGAGTTGCAGGCTTTAATGGGCGGCGGTAGTCGCTTTCCATCAGGTGACCCGTCTGCTCGTTTGCCACAAAAAAAATAATTAAAAAAACATTAAGCTGTAAATCATCAATTAAGTTAAATTTTGTTCCCAAAAACCTTTCTTTCGTTCATTTCGTTCTTTCTTCATTCTCGAGGAGAATAAAACATCCAATCCAGTGGTTTGACAATACCCATCTACACATTCAAATTGAAGAGTATTTTTGGGCCCGTTATCCGTAATAAATTATTATATATTTATAATAATTTATTAAGAGCCCAAATATTACTTATTTTCTTACAGTATACACAGTACATATTTTATTATTCATTATTCAGTAACAATAATTTTCCTTTAAATTGTTGTTGAAATGTGTATAAGATTTATTGAATGTGACATTTTTTGGAATACAAGATGAGGCTAATTGTTTCTACCAATAGCCCTTTATATGTCATCATCACCATCAAATAACAATAAAGAAAGAAGAGAAGGAAAACTTAACTTAAACTCTATATGAACCCGTCTGGCCAGTGTGGTATAGTAGGCCGAAACCTCCTTTCTAAGGAGAGGCGTATGTCTAGCAGTAGACTATTAAAGGCTGTTGATGTGATTATGAAGTTATTTGGACCCTTTCACAGTGATTGTTTTGTTTTTCAGGAACATGTCTACTATATCCAGACAATCAGTCCATATCGGCCAGCAGAAGCTGGCTGAGAAGCTTATTATACTAAATGATAGAGGAATTGGTATGCTAACTCGAATTTACAATATCAAGAAAGCTTGTGGAGATGCTAAATCTAAACCAGGATTCCTTTCTGACAAGGCTCTTGAATCTTCCATTAAAAATATTGTTAGGAGATTCCCTAACATTGATGTGAAAGGATTACAGGCTATTACTAATATAAGAAATGAAATTATCAAGTCACTCTCTTTGTACTATTACACATTTGTGGATCTTCTCGATTTCAAGGATAATGTGTGTGAACTTCTCACTATTATGGACTCTTGCCATTTAACATTGGACTTGACTCTAAATTTTGAATTGACAAAGAACTACCTTGATTTAATAACCACATATGTCTCATTGATGATCTTGCTGTCTAGAGTTGAAGATAGAAAGGCTGTGCTAGGACTGTTCAATGCTGCCCACGAAATGGTTCATAACCAAATAGATCAGAGCTTTCCTCGTTTGGGTCAAATGATTTTAGATTATGATGCCCCATTGAAAAAGCTATCTGAGGAATTTTTACCACACCAAAAAGTTTTCTCCAGTGCATTACTCTCACTGTGGCAAGTGTATCCTGCAAGAAATTTAACAGCTGACCATTGGAGATCAGAACAAAAACTGAGTTTAGTCAGCAACCCAGCTCTACTCTTGAAACCTTCAGAGACAAACACCATGTCATGTGAATATGTATCTCTGGAATGTCTTGAAAGATGGGTTATATTTGGCTTTGCCCTTTGTCACAATATGCTCCAGCAAGAACAAGCCAGCAAAATGTGGGTATATGCTCTAGAATCTGGGTGGGTTGTAGCATTATTTCGTGATGAAGTCATTTATATACACAGCTACATACAGAGTTTCTTTGATGGAATTAAAGGATATGGTAAAAGGATATCAGAAGTAAAAGACTGCTATCACCATGCAGTTCAAAAAGCTGGCCACAAACACAGGGAAAGGAGGAAGTTCTTGAGAACAGCCTTAAAAGAATTGGGCCTCATTTTAACTGATCAACCAGGTCTACTGGGTCCTAAAGCATTGCTAATATTTATTGGACTGTGTTATGCTAGAGATGAAGTATTCTGGCTGCTGAGGCATAATGACAATCCTCCACAGAAAGTTAAGGGTAAAACAGCAGATGACTTAGTTGATCGCCAACTGCCTGAACTTTTATTCCACATGGAAGAATTAAGAGCTCTAGTGAGGAAATATAGTCAAGTCATGCAGCGATATTATGTGCAATATCTTTCTGGATTTGATGCGGTGGCTCTAAACTTAATGATTCAGAATTTACAAGTTAATCCTGATGATGAAAATATCATACTGTCATCCCTATGCAGCACTGCTGCTAATTTAAATGTAAAACAAGTTGAAGACAATGAACTGTTTGATTTTAGAGCTTTCAGACTTGATTGGTTTAGATTACAGTCATATACATCAGTCGCCAAATCAGCATTCAACCTTGTGGAGCAAAGAGAATTGGCACAGTTTATTGACAAGATGGTGTTCCATACTAAAATGGTTGATAATCTTGATGAAATAATGGTAGAAACATCTGACTTATCTCTGTTTTGTTTTTACAGCAAAATTTTTGAAAGTCAATTTCACATGTGCTTAGAGTTTCCTGCACAAAATCGATACATCATTGCTTTTCCACTCATATGCAGCCACTTCCAAAACTGTACACATGAGTTATGTCCTGAAGAAAGACACCACATCAGAGAAAGGAGTCTTTCCGTAGTAAACATATTCCTGGATGAAATGGCTAAAGAAGCTAAAAATATAATTACCACAATTTGTGATGAGCAATGCACTATGAGTGATAAGCTTCTGCCAAAGCACTGTGCTCAGACAATTGCACATCTTGCAAACAGGAAAAAAAAAGATAAAAACAAAAAGAACACAACAGCTATAGTTCAACCAGGAGCCGAGAGTTATAGGAAGTCTAGAGAGGATTTGACAACTATGGACAAATTACACATGGCCCTGACAGAACTGTGCTACGCCATAAACTACTGTGCCACTGTCAATGTTTGGGAGTACACATTTGCACCAAGAGAATACTTACATCAGCATTTAGAAACTCGATTTTCTAAAGCTTTGGTTGGCATGGTTATGTTCAATCAGGATACCAGTGAAATTGCCAAACCATCAGAATTACTGGTCAGTGTTAGAGCCTACATGAATGTTCTGCAAACTGTTGAAAATTATGTGCACATTGACATCACAAGAGTATTTAATAACTGCCTTTTACAACAAACTCAGAACACAGATAGTCATGGTGAGAAAACTATAGCTTCTCTTTATACTCAATGGTATTCTGAGATTTTGTTAAGGAGGGTAAGTGCAGGAAGTATCTGCTTTTCTATGAACCAAAAAGCTTTTGTAAGCTTAACCGCAGAAGGAGCAATTCCATTTAATGCAGAAGAATATTCTGATATTAATGAATTAAGAGCCCTTGCGGAACTAATTGGACCTTATGGCATGAAGTATTTGAGCGAAACATTAATGTGGCACATTGCAAGCCAAGTCCAAGAGCTAAAGAAGTTGGTAGTACAAAACAAAGAAGTTCTGCAGATGCTAAGAACTAATTTCGATAAACCTGAAATTATGAGAGAACAATTTAAGAGATTGCAGCATGTGGACAATGTTCTACAGAGGATGACAATAATTGGTGTGATTTTAAGCTTCAGGCAGATAGCTCAAGAATCAATTTTGGATGTTTTAGAAAGACGAATCCCATTCTTAATCAGCTCTATTAAAGATTTCCAACAACAACTGCCTAGTGGCGATCCAATGCGTGTTATATCTGAAATGTGTTCTGCTGCTGGATTGCCTTGTAAGGTAGATCCAACGTTAGCATCAGCTCTCCGGCAACAAAAAGCCGATGTTGAAGAGGAAGAGCATTTGGTTGTTTGCCTCTTAATGGTTTTTGTAGCGGTTTCATTGCCTCGGCTTGCGCGTAGTGAAGGTTCATTCTACAGGCCTTCCTTAGAGGGTCACGCAAATAATATTCATTGCATGGCACCAGCAATAAATCATATTTTTGGAGCACTTTTCACTATTTGTGGACAAGGCGACATTGAAGACCGCATGAAGGAGTTTTTAGCTCTGGCTTCATCATCTTTACTTCGCTTGGGTCAGGAGACTGACAAAGAAGCCATAAAAAATCGAGAATCAGTGTATCTTCTCCTTGACCTGATCGTTCAAGAATCTCCATTCCTTACAATGGACCTGCTAGAATCTTGTTTCCCATACGTCTTGATACGTAATGCTTATCACGAAGTTTACAAGCAAGAGCAGACAGGAAGCCATTTATAATGCCTTATTAAAAGTTGACGAAAGACAGAATGCTTTAGTATTTGTTAGTTTCTATATTTTTATTTTAAGTAAATAGTATGTCACTGTATGGACAGTTTCCATTATTACGAATATAAATAAAAGCATTTAATATTATGTTCTGATATGTAAAAATAATATTTACACATAATTATGTTAATCTGATAAGTTATTCAAAATATATTCAGGCTTAATGAGACTGGTAAACTATTCCTTTCTACACATTAGGACTACTTTCATAGGAATTATACCTATCAGGATATCATTTTTGTTATTTTAACCCCGTATTATATACTTAGTCGTTCAATTAGAGTATTAACATAGTGTAAGTTCAACTTTGGGTCAAAGATAATTCATAAACATAAATGAGTAACAAATTAATAGTTCAGAAATATTTAGGTAATTAGTTATATAATTGCCTGCCGCGCTTTTATACGTTAAATAGTAAACGAAGTCATGACTATAGTTAAGTGAACTCATAAGAAATTAATACCCGCCTAAAAAAATCTAAAATCAAATTACGAAATAACAATTTAACAAAAATATACTATCCCGTGTTATTGTCACAACTTAAAAGATATATTATTACCTATTATAATTTTAGCAAAGCCTATCTAGCTCTATAATTTAATTATTTGGCTACCTAAATCTTATTTCGTAAAAGACATATACATATATATACTTAAGATAGTTGTACATTTTTCATGTAGGAATATTTCAAAATAATAACATTTAAACAAAAAGATTTTGAGCTTAGTTTAGTTGCGACTGTAAGTAACTTGAACATGATATAGGAAAGATTTTCGAAGCTTGTGGTCCGCATGTAGACTGTAAGGCCTCATTTACGGAGACGCGGGACGTCGCGCGTCGCGTTGTGCGGCGCGGCCCGCACTGAATTCAAACATATGGCGAGCGTTTACCGAGAAGCGATGTTGCACGCGTTGATTTGAAATGGAGCGTGTTTTGGCAGAACCCGCGAAGGCGCACGCGGCATCAATTCTCGATGAAACTATGTATGCGGCGGAACCTTCTGCCAGTCTTTAGTCAAAAGTATGATTATACGATTTATAAATCATATGATTAATCACAGGTGATTGTGATTCTATTCCTACCCTAGTTTTGATTATTGATTGAGTACACTGCGTGCGCCGCAGCGATCCCCGTCTCGCATCTCTATGAACAACGTCGTATATTGAGCCGCTGCTCCGTAAACAGAAAAAAATGCCGCGAGACGCCACGGCACACGCGTCTCCATAAATGAGACCTATTACATCTGAAACTAACAACTATGAAACATACGTGTGCTTTATAAATAACTGCTATGATACTATCATGTAATATCCTTTGTACCTAGAAAACACTTTATCGATTTCGTATTTAGTGTACAATTCCATCAGAGGGCTCACTTGGACTTGGCAAGTAACAGCAAACACTTATTGAACTAGGTAATTATTCAAAAACTGCTTGTCATTTGTTATAACCAATTGTTGAAGGGAGGCATATCAGTCATCTAACTGCGTATATTTCGGGACTGAGTAGATATCACCGTCCGCCATTGAACTGAAATTGTCGACTCAAGCAATTAGTTGCAGTTATGTTCATAGCACAAATTTATCCTTTCCAATAAAGCTTACACAGGAGGCTCTACATTAAATAAGATGTAATTTCTAGGGATCTCCACATCATGTTTGAAGTGTACCATAATTGAACTTGTGTGACTTCTTTCCGCTCATTGGAAGAGAGTCGTACGTAATGTATTGACATTTTAATATTTCTAAAAATTCACACTGCTATTTATCGTCGGTCTAGTTATGATACTTTTGTACCTTGTATATAGAAATATATCCGTTTAATAAACTATTAAATATCAGTGTATTTATTTTGCTTCATACACCTATCACTTTCTTCTGGTTTATAAATCTTCAGTGTCGTGTCTGTATCTAGTTACCTTAGATAAATACAGGTATATTTAAAATTGTTTGATTCCACGTGTGAACTTGTCAATGCAATATTTCGAATAGTTTCCATGTTGATTGGTGTTTGTTAACCAATGATACAATAAAAATGAACATTGTTTATTAACATATTTACAATAGTTTTATACTATTTTTAATTGCCTATTGCTTATACAAAAGTTACGGAGAGAGGGTTTGTAAAAGGGAGAGCAGTCGTTACTATTTAAAACGCTAACGAGCAATTATGTTACAAGTTATCGGATATTCAAGATTATTTTCCTCCGTTAGTTTTCTAGCTGCAAGATTATTACTCCATACGACAAATTCCTTTATTATTTCGCAAAGTATCAGAATTCGGGTAGTTAATTAAAAAATTATAAACCAAAATAGATTAGTTAGCAACCTTATTTGTTCCGAGGAATGATATATACTTCATTATTATTATATTCTACCAACCGTGAAAACCAAATGACGGTCTCACCATTAAAACGAATAGAGCGCCGGAAATTGAATAGGCGTTGTTATGCTTGGGCGGTCCCCCACCTAGCCCGCGGTGTGGGTGTTCAACTCCACCACTGAATAGAATGGGCTATATTTATATACATAAATGAATTTAAAATGTCAGGTACATGTATTCTACTATTATCACCCTGCATCCTGAATTACAATGTTCTTTAATCATTTAGTTACACGACTGAAAATATTAATCGTATAATTCATATATTTGTACCTATATCTAGGCTCGGTCTTACAACTAGAGTGAGTTGCAAATAAAGTAGTTATGTTACTCAATACATTTAAACAAGTGGGTATGGTTTATCTGTATCATTTGTGTTGAGAGAAGCGGATGTAGGTAATAAAATTGTTGGTTATTGTAACTCCAAACTACTACTACAATAATAGCTCTTGCAATTATGGTATAAAGTGCAATTTAGCCACTATTATTACCCTACGCTTAATGCTCGTAACCTATGATGCGATGAGTCACTATGAATCACCATCTGCTTTGTGATTAGCTAGCGAGTTTGATCTGTATTAATGGACCGCTATGGTTATTAAGGAATTCATAATACAACAAGTAATTCTAGTATATCTGTTAATTTGTCCTATTGTTAGAATTTTTTAACCCGTTAACCGTCAAGAACGCATTAAAGCCAATGATATATAAACAATATTATAATATGTCATTGATTAAAGCGTAATTTAGTAACTTGATCAAACGTCTTAAAGCGTCCACCGCACTTCGTTTTTACGGATGAATAAAACTTGGCTAATGTTGATTTTCAGAATCAGCAACATTTGTAAGAGTTCATCCTGATTTTGACTACTACAATCATGCATTTAAGCACTGAGATAGTCTAATTAAGCACGTAATATTTAAAAATTCATTGATCAAAAAACTAACTTTTAAAGTTATACCTTGAGAGCAATCGACAGCTTCAAGCGTCAACTAGTGCTGCAACTACCCACGAATGGAAAATTTATCTATACAAATAAATAAAATTGGAGTGTCTGTCAAACACCTGGGTGTCATACTTGATAAGCATCTCAATTTTAAAACACACATTATACACTTAGCAAATCGAGTACGAAAACTCATCTACATTTTTAAAACCCTTCGACACATCGCCAATGCTCACATCATTCGTACCGTGTATTACGCTATGTGTCAGTCAATTATTTGCTACTGTATCACAGTTTGGGGTGGTGCCGCTAAAACGCTTTTAAAACCACTGGAGGTAGCCCAGAGAGCCGTACTTAAAGTTGCTAGTTTTCGCCCAATACGGTATCCCACTTTCGAGTTATATCAAAACTGCAACGTTCTTACAGTTCGACAACTTTTCATATTAAGCTCTATACTCCAACAGCATACAAAAGCTCTACACATACATGAAGACGCTATACCTAAACGAAGAATCAAAATCTACACTACACCTCACACTTACTTCACTTTCACCAAACGATTCTTTTTCTACCTAGGACCATTTCTGTATAATAAATTTAACCAAATCTTACTGATACACAAATCCTCCTATGCTTCAATAAAATCTCAAATTACTCAATATATCTCTAAGAAAAACTATATGGAAACGGAGAAGCTAATGACTTCAAAAAGCCTATAATAAGTAGATAATCCATAGATTCACACACATGCACAGACATTACACGCACACGCACTGACATACACTCTCACACACTCACACTTGCACACAAGCAAACACACCAGTTAATGTAATACAAAGTAATTTAAAAATTTTATGTGCTATGTACCTTTTGCTTAATTTTATGGAACTCAGCAACGGACTGTTCTTAACACAGGCTATACAAGTAGCCCGCGGGTGGACGGGGTGGATTTCCCCTCCACCCGCATTAGTTTGGCCAGCCGCGAGGGGGCGGCGTCCGCGTGTGCCGGACGTCGCCTAAAGAGAGGAAAAATATTGAGACGGAGCCCGCACCAGGAGCGGGCTGGCGCTAGGAGGGGTCCGGATGTCTTAACAACAGCTGTTCCCGGATCCCTCCTGTTACAGGCGCAGAGTGGCACACCGTGTGATTTTAGTCGGTCCGAGTCCGACACACCACCCCGCCGCAAACCCCGGAGGGGTGACGGTCCGAGGGGATTTCCACACGTTAAAAAAAAAAAAAAAGGCTATACAAGTAGCCTAGCTAGAACGTCCAGGACTACAATATAAAAGGTTGTATTTTACGAAATAAATAAATTAAATTAAATTATGCTACATAATAAATATACAAAAAAAAAAAACTTTTTTATGTTCTTCAGTTGCTGCTGCTGTAGGATTATATTTGTGGGCAACACGGGGTTAGATGCTGGTCAATTCACCTATCATCATTTTTGAAGCTACCTACCTACTTTATTGATTACTAGCTGAGACCCGCGGTGTTACCCGCGTTTGTTGTTATAACCGCGGGCAACGCCGCGGGGCGAAGCTAGTCTAAAAAAAGTAGCCTAAGTTACTCCTTATGTCATCAGCTATCTGCCAGTGAAAGTCCCGTCGAAATCGGTCCAGACGTTCCAGAGATTACCCGGAACAAACAGACAGACAGACAAAAATTGAAATTAAATTGAAATTATTTGTCCTGACAGTAAGGTGGTTTGACAAAGGTTATTAATGTAGACCAGGAATAAGGTAGGGCCTAAACGCTGCCCTGCGGGACTCCATATGAAATGGGCAGCTCATCACTTAAATATTTGTCAATTATCACTCTTTGTGAGCGACCAGTGAGATAGGATTTAAAGAGTTGAAGCTGTGTATCTCTAACACCCACGTTTTCAAGTTTGGAAATAAGGCATGCGAGAGGGACCGTATCAAGCGCTTTTGCAAGATCAAGGAACACTGTAAGAACTTTTTTATGTTGGTTAAGTCTCTCAACTATTCCATTTACAAGTTCTAAAGCTGCAGAGGAAGTTGATTTCTTTTTTCTAAAGCCGAACTGATTCCGGGACAGTAACGCATTAGACTCCAGATAATTAATAAGCCAGATAATTAATAATAGAGAATAATAAGAAGAAAGAAAGAAAGATAATTAATTTTATTCATTAGACGTTCCATGACCTTGGAGAGTGCTGTTAGAATGGCAATTGGGCGGTAGTTATTGACATTAGTACGGTCACCAGCCTTGAAAATTGAATGAATGATTGCCTTTTAAACGAAGATTTGAAAGTGCCGGAGGCAAAGCACAGATTGATAATATGGCATAGTATGGGTGTTAGGATTACAGAATATCTCTTCAAAAAAATTGTAGAAATGCCATCATGACCTACTGCGGCATTCGATTTTAGTGACATTATGGTAGAGACTACTTCGTCAGCGTCCGTATCTAAAAGAACAAATGATTTTCGACATCCATTCCTTGAGGTCATTGGTGGGCTACTGAAGGTATTGGGTTGTATAGTTTTTATGTGATCAGCAAGATCCTCTCCGATGTTCACAAAGAATTCATTAACCTCGTTAACAGATTGAGAGTTACCAACCTACTACCTAGTTACCAACTAATAGTCAGAATCTGCAAGTGACTCATGAAAAAAAATCACTGCACTAACACATGTAATAATTTTGTTGAATTAAAAATATCGATAACTATTAATAAAATCTATCAACTGTCTCTTTCACGTTTGTATCACAAAATCGCCCCCCCCCCCCCCCCCCCCTACGCCATTGACGCCTTAAAGCGTCGGCTAGTTACAGGAAAATATGATAATGAGTTAATTGTTTATTGTTATAAAATCAATATTTATAGAAGTATATATAAATAATAATGAGTAAAGTGGATGTGGTCACAAACGAGATTACGCTCTCAGTGAATAATGAAATATATCAGTCTCCTCTGCAAAGAGATTCTGCGTGCGAAGCGCTCGAGACAGAGGCACCTCATTGAGAAGATTTTTACGCCTTCTTGGCACCGCCAGCAGCCAGGACCCCACGTACCTATCTGTTATACACAGCCTTAGCATACTTAAAATAAAAGTATTCTATCAATCAATCTAGCTTTCATAGTACAAGCTCTGCTTAGTTTGAAACTAGATGGCGTTGTGTCAGATGTCCGAAGTATTATTCTTGTTTATCCTACCTCTAATTAATCTTATCCACCTATAATATTGTTAGACTGATATGGTGGGATGGTAAAAATTAAACGGATTATAGTGCTTATTAGCTGTATGAAAATATATAAACCTACAACACAAATCATTTTAAAGCAGTCCAAATAATGAAGCTCTTCTCTTTTTTGCGTTATTTCAATTTCAAAATTTATTTTTTCCTTCCAAATTCCTATTCTCAAAAATTAATAGTTGTTTTATGGTGCTGTGGCTCTGGGTCTACAAAGTACAGGTCATTGGAGAAGGCGGCACTTGCGCGTTTCTATGTGAATAATCGGCATTAAAAAAAAAGATATATTCAAGGAAAAATGCTTAATCTCGTGCTGACAGGGAATGGTCAGAACACCGGCAATTTGCATTACCACCAAAGACGATATACCCGACCGGTATATAAAACTGATAATTTGGTATAATTCTAGTAAAACTGAAATAAAAAGACAACAATTCATGTAAAATTTATTGTTTTTTTTTTTATTATTTTGAAATCACATGTTGTAACATTCATCTTGTTAATTAAAAATATTCACATTGTCATTTAAATAATCTATTACAGTAATCTAGCTTACATACACTTACGAGAAATAATGCCATTGAGTACTACAAGTGGCGGACAATGTTACGCCTTTACACGATTGGTCAAGTCATCCTACAACAGAAACATTACCCTCAGCTTACATACATACAAATATACAGTATTATAATACAATTACAAGAACTTGCATATTGTTTCGACATTCACTAATAAAATGGCATTAATATGGTATACTTATAAGACCGATTCTTAATATTAAAATGTATAGAAATAATAAAAATACATCATGCTCTTTGGCTTGCACGACGGAAAGTAATACTACTCAATACGATTGTAAACTTAATCTCATAATCTATCAAAGAGATCAATTCGACTTAAGGAGGATAGAGGGCCCAGTGTGGACCGACATAGATTTTAAATTAAATACTTTATTTATTTCTGCAACGGCGCTAATAGATTAACGTTCAAAATGTAATATGAAAAAGAAATAATAACTCACGTATTTCGAGAAGAAAATCATTGTAGCTTTAAATAAATTAAATAATAAAAATAAATTTATTCACTGCAAAAGATGCATAATACGTTCCAAAGGAATATGTTCGTTAGACATTGGATTCACAATAAAGAAAAATAATAATTTCTCTACCTAATTATTGGTGACTTCCTTTGAGGATGTATTGATCGAATGTTGCCATACCTGCAACTTTTACTTTCTGCCTATGAAATTCGTCAACCTTGCCCTCTGCCCTCGATAACTCAACTGCACAACGTTTTCAACTACAGATATAAGTGTCGGCGCGTGATATGCAAGATAGTTCCACGTCAGTACACCACCTGATGGCGTATACTTACCGTCTCTTGAGCACTACGTAGTAGGCAGTTTACAAAGTATAATTGGGAATGACTTCAAAAATTCTTCATCAATAGATCGAAAGTTTCAGTCTAATAATATTTGATCATTTGGCAATATTGTTTAATTTCACATTACACTCTACTTAGAATAGGATAAATCAAAAAACGAATACAACAAGTACATTATTCGTCATAGGAAGACTAAATGCAAATTTTGAAAATTGTTGTTATTTGAGCCCATTACGAATTAAATTATCAGATATAATTATCTCAAAAGTACCGTCATTACGATGGAACGTAAACAAAGAACTAACGATTAAAGGAACAGGAATACAAATCGGTATGATGGCACCTCGACTTTCCACTTACGTTATATTAAATACGTTAAAAATAACTTTATATCAAAATTACAATTACGGAGATTCGAGTAAAACAACGCCGTTGGGTACTTAACGATTACATTTAGAGTCGGTATGAACGTTCCAGTTTATCGTCGGTATGATATTTTTACATCGTAGCCTTTGTGTACCTCTTCATTTATATACAAAAATATAAATAAATGTTCGGTTACAGGAGCGACACTCTACTGAACGGTTCAAAAGTATCACTGGTTCCGCGAACGTCGCGCCGTCCCTGCGGTTCCTCTCTGTATAAAAATAATAATTTGATAGATCACCGTGTCGCTCGCCTGCGTCCTCCGAGACCTCCGCTCGGAGGGAGCGGATCGGTCCCGCTGACCCGCGTTGAGCAAATAACATATTACAAATCAATTTTAGATTCATCGACGAGTAACCGCATAAAAATGCAAAGAGCCAATCTAACCCGCGACGAGTCACCAGGGTATGTACAAAGTTTACCAAATAATTTTGAGCGAGCGTCAGTCGGGAGCGAGCCCCTATATGTCGGCCTGCGGCCGCTGCGGGTTGGTGACGGTGAGCGATTCGGGCGAGTGCAGCGTGATGGTGGTCTGCGAGGCGACCGTGACGGTGCGGGCGTCGGGCGCGGGCTCGCGGTACACGTAGCCCAGCAGCAGCGGCACGCCCGGCGCCAGCGCCACCAGCTCCAGCGCCGCCTCCCCGCCGCCCGCGCCGCCCCCGCCGCCTCCGCCGCAGTACTCGTACTGTCAGACCTTCTGCGGGGGCCGCATTTCGTACGACTGCGGGTAGGCGTTGGCGTACGGTTCGCTTCGGCGACTGCTGGGGCCCGCCGGCGCTGACGCTGTTGACGTACACATAAATTAGTAAAATTGAGGTACAATAAATACTTATATACTTATATAAATAATTTCCTTTATAATTAAAGGCAGTTATTTATTCTTCACATCAACATCACAATAACTTACAATGAGTTTGGGCAGCGATAGTCATTTCCCATCAGCATTAACTGATGGTAAGTGACTATTGTTGCCCAAACTCATTGTAAGTTATCACTGGTGCTGATGGGAAGTGACTATCGCTGCCCATGAGCACCTACAACCTAAGAGATATAGAATGTTATCGTTCTAAGTCCTCCCCCAGAATAGGTGGGAGGGAAGGTTTGGGCTCCAGTAACCTTACTCACTCGGTGAGAAACAACGAAAGAATTGTTTTATAGAGGTTTTCTGTAGGGTCCTTAGTACTACTATACTTCGATCGACTCAGTCCATTCACGCGTTACGAACAGGTGAGATACCATTTTTTAAAATTGAAATGTTAGGCTTAAATAACGCAACCGTTTCGAACAACAGTTTGCAGTCGACAGGACGAGTGAGCTTGACTATAATTTTTGGAAACCGATCGGCCTGGGGGCGGGGCGCTATTCTGACGAGTGGGTAGTCGCGTTAGGTACACAAATAAGGTAAAGGCAGGTACGGACCCAGGTCCCGGTGCGGGTAGGCGAGCGGCGGCGCGTAGCCCTTGTGCTTGCGCGTGCGGCGGTGGCCGGGGCGAGGCGCGGCGCGCGCGGGGGAGCGCGCGGGGGGCGCGGCGACGCCAGCTCGCGCGCCGCCGTGCGGGTGCCGCATGCGCCGCAACGTGTTCATGGGTCGTCGCAGCGTCTCAGATAGCCGCCTGCAAAATAATTATTCATCTTATTTTGTAAAATTGACAGCCAGCCCCGAAACTTCGTTTTATATTCAATGGTATTCAGAGAGATGGTTGTGAGGAAGAATGGTTATTAGCTTAGACCACCATTTAAAAAAACCCTTATGAAGCATATTTCAAAATGTTTTTATCCAACTACAACGAAATCGGCTATGATGATGTGGCGTGTACGTGTACGCTGTAACTCTGAAAATTCTGGAATCTTGAATTCGATATATTCGATCGATCGATCGATGTATCGAGGCCTATTGGTAGAGTGGTTAGTGACCCTGACTGCTAAATCGGAGGTTGTGGGTTCGATTCCCACCCAGGACAAATATTGTGTAATGAAATGATGATAATTTATCTATAATATGTATCTATTTAAAAATATATAAGCATGTTTATCAGCAGTCTGGTTACCATAGTACCGGTTCTGCCTAGTTTGGGATCAGACGGCCGTGTGTGAGATGTGTGAGATATGATATATATATATATCATCGATTTGAGAGTGCAAAAATAATCAATTGAAAGAGCAAAAGGAGAGCTAATGAAAATCTTAAGATATTCTGCAGAAGTATTGGAAAAGAGAGGAAGAAGCTTCGATTAAATAAGGTACACACTCTAACACAAAAACACCTCCAAATCGTCCCTCGAACGTAAATTATATATTATCCTTATATATGTATGTTTTTATAAAGCTATTCAGAATATAAACAAGTGTATACACTGAATTTTCAAGTAGAAAGATGTCGTAATAATTACTAAAAAAATGTCAATGTACCTACAGATTGTTGTCGCGTCCCTCGCGGTGCTTACCTACTTAATACGTATTTCATGCGCTAAGGTTAGAGGAAACTTGTGGAATCGATATGTATTTTAATTATTTATTCTTCATAAGGTGAAAGAATGCGAAGAGCCGAAAATCGATCATAGTGGCGGGCAATAGGAGAGGTATATGTCCAGTAGTAGACTGCGATAGGCTGATGATGAAGGTGAAATGAAGTGAAATTTTCATAGATTGAATATTTATATATATAACCATTGATATAATGGTTTATGGTTTAAGATCTTTATTTCTCATAAGAATTACAATAATTCACTTACTGAGAAACAATATTCACAAGATAGACATACAAGCGTGCACAGAAACAAACTTAATTATTAATAGCTTAAAGGTAAACAACAAAAGTACGCAACAATAAAGGTGATAAATAAAAGCTACAAAGTGGGTATACTGCAAACTAGTTCTAACGAACGCTCGAATGTTGTCGACAGCACACGGACGTTGCAACTACACCGCTACTGGATGTGGCACGCACGGCTACGCACGACTTATAAAATATATTGAGTTTTCGTTTATATCTTTAGAAATTAACCAAATACATCACGTAGTATTTATTTTTATTTGGTGTTTATAAGTATGTATGTATAGGTTTTTTTAATTATTATTATTATTACTTAATTTATGTTTTGTCAAAGATATATGATTTGAGCCTTTTTTTTTAAATAGTCATGCTAGTAGATTCTTTTATTAAAAGTGGCAGCGCGTTGTACATTTTAACCCCTTCGTATTCTTTGCTTTTTTTACCGTAGTTAGTTCTGGGTGGACGTGTTACTAGGTAGTTAGAGTTACGTAGCTTGATTTTTTGTGATTCTTGTTTTTTTGTAAATGACAAGGTGGTGTGAATGTCTTTCTTTAATATTTTTCGTATTAGTATGCATGTATAGTATGTGTGAGTTTGTTTTATATTCATGATCTTTGTGTCGTCATATATTTTTTGTGTGGAAGTCCGGTATTTATAGTTAAATAAGATTTTTATAAGTCTGTTTTGTGCCGTTTGGATAGGTTCAAGATTCGTTCTAGCCGCCGCCCCCCAGACCTCTATTAAATAATCAATGTGAGGTTTTATCAATGAATTATATATGAATTATATAATACTTACATAGATGAGTAATTACCGCCTAAAATCGTTGCTACTGCACATCTGTCCACAGCCATATGCGTAGCAAACGTCAATTCAGTGTTCAATGTGGCGTCAACCGAGTTGAACATAGCGACACATTACAGTAACAATCGCCAAAATGGGTAAATGCGTAGTGAAAGAATGCGATTCAAGGTCACAAAACCATAATAAATCATGCGGAATTACTTATCACGTGTAAGTTTATGGTTTTGGTATTGATAATATCGTAAATAAGGCTATAATTGAAATGAAACATTGATAATTGTAATTTAGAATCAGTGTTACCATTAAAAAATCATTTTGGTTTTCCCACATTAGTGGGAGAATTTATAATTTTTGAAATAATATGCTTTATACTGTTTTTAAACATTTTGCCAATAATAATAAAATATAGGAAGAACGGTAGTTGTTAGGGCTGGACCGATTACTTTTTTTAGGGAAGCTCGCAGTTCTGGAGACTTTTGTACAAAAGAATTAATTCATTCATACATTAATTTTTCTTAATTAATTATCAATTTTAAATAATAATTGTACAACAAAAAAAAAATATTTTTCATAAAAAAAAATATATAAAATAAAAAAGTAAATAAATATAAATAAAAAAAATATATAAAATAGAAATAAAAAATATATATTTATTTTTTATATATATATATATTTTATCTGTATTTTAAAATATTAAAAGAATTTGCAATACACCCTGGGGATTATTTATTATCAGTACAAGTTGATCATTCACTTTTATTATTAAATGCCATTATTTATACATACGTAAAAATAAGATTGTATCATGAAAGTAAAATATCCACACAAACTTATAAAAAAGAGTCTAAAAGACAATTGTATACAAAACTGATGCTTCATAGCGGAGTTTGATTTTACACTGAATATAAACCCTTTTAACCAAATATTTCCAGTTATTTTATTATTTATACCTATTCCATTCAGTTCGAAATATATTATTTAAAATATTTAAATTAATTTATTTTATTACAAAATTGTTTAAAAAAAATTGATTCTTGGTTGTTATGGGTAAAATTACATAGGTACGGTAGTCAACACCGTACCTATGTACCACCACCATGGTGGGCCACCATCGTAAAGTTATGTCTTTGTCTAATCCGAGCGATGGTATTGTTCTTGTCTCGCGTGTAAATGAGACATAATTATGTTTACTTTCAAATGTTTAGTGGTATCAAAGCTACGTCGTCAAAGTTCAAAAGTGGTTACACTTTTTTCGACGTGTGATAATGAGGTTTGCTTCTCTAGTGTTGTTTTAACTCAATGTATATAACTATAACAACAACTAATAAAAATTGGTTACACGCAAATCTTATTGTTACGCAGGAAAGACAGGATACGGGTAATATTTTTCTTTAATTTTAAAATAAAAACAACACTAAAAATATACAATTTAACGAATTATGTGCCTTTGAACAATGTTAACTTATTAAATAATTGCCGTTGTGACTTTTGATTAAGCAGTTCTTAATTTTGCTGCGTAGTAAAGATGTATGTCTATGTATTTTTCAATTATAATTTTTATCAACGTAACCTTATGACCAAAATTTGATGGTTGTATCTAGCAGTGTTCGCTAATATCTATGAAAATATCGGCAAGCTTGTTTTAAAATTGAAATGTCCCTGACTTTTGACATATTAAGAATACGTCATTAGATGCGTAATACAATCCCCCAAAATCCTTAACGTCTATCAAATTATGGAACCTTAACTTCTCTTTAGCCAGCAAACAATCTTTACCATATTCGCATTTTAATTGTTTTAATAAATAACCAACCACAAAACAGCTATATACCCAATAATTTGCACAGTTAACTCTGTTTCTTTACGAGTATTATAAATGCGGACACGTCTTGTTGAAGTTAAGTTCAGTTCGAGCTACAGTGCGATAAACATCGAAGCGATCGAAGTGAATATAAGTGTAACCCAGCGAACTCGGCGATCATTACGGACTATTATTGAGTATTGTGTAAACGTCTTAAAGTGTAGTAATAATAATGCCTCTTTAGTCGCCGGAAGGTTTATTTTTGAAAATTAACAAACCCTAACACGTAACATTATAACTAATATTTCAAAACAGTCATGTGAACTAAAAGATATGTTTTAGTATGGGTCTTGTTCTAACGGAATAGTGTGAGCGATATCGCGTTATAGGACACTGTACGCGGGAGTGAGGAGAGTACATCCGTGGTACACGCAGTTTAAAATAGATGACAATATTTGAATAAAGTGGTATTTTGTTATGAAAAACAATCCATAATGTCATAACTAAGTTCTTTTTACCGAAAATTGACGTATTTTCCATACTTTTTGCACTTTTAAAGTGTGCTTTTGCATTTTTTTTACAGCACACTTTGTCATCGTTGAACTTCACACTACCAACGCGGTCGATAAGTGACTGTGCCTTCTTCCAATTATGGCCAAGTTGATTTGGCGCCCTTTTTGGAGTCGATCAAGATCTTTTTCGAGATCCTAGGTCATTCCATTTTAAGTGTACAAAAAGTAATTGTGGGTCTGATCCCCACATGGGACGACACTTTGTGTGATCCATAAATAGTTGTTCTGAGTCTGGGTGTTCTTTGTGTACGTTTTATGTATGTTCGTAAAGTCCCCCGCGACACAGGAATGTATCATTCCTAATCCGGGAGTTGTCTTTAAAAAAAAAAAAAAAATTACCTAGCTGGGGGCCGTTTCGGGTTCGACGACGGAGTATGGACAGCGCAGCACTTGACGAAGGCGCCCATACACACGATGAGCGCTACTCCCGCCAGTAACACTGCCCACCACTGCTCTGTCACCCACACTTGGACAGACTGTAGTGTGTCGCGGTTGAGAAGGAGATTCTTCAGACGCGCTAGGGGACCCTCCGCGTCTACGGCGCGGCACTTCAAGAACACATCACAGTAGCCCTGAAGACGAAAATAATTTTTATAACTAAGTGAATAATAATAATAATAATATATCGGACATTTAACACACGACGCCATCTAGTTTCAAATTAAGCAACTCTTATAATGATGATAGAGAGATTATAATGAAAGTTAGATTGACTGATAGAATACTTATATACTTCTTTTTGTAAATTAATTTAAATATATCATTGTAAACACTCAAACTCTGAAATAAATATTTATTTGCCCGATCTGGGAATCGAACCCGAGATCTCAGCACAGCATGTAATACGCTACCACTGCACCACTCAAATATGGAGACGAGTGAAGTTATGAATATCAAATATGGGATACATACGACCCGATATTTTCAGATTCCATTAAGTTACAAGGGCACGTAGATTTTAATTTATATAAATTTGACTGGACGTATGGCGCGGTAGTTTAAGCGGTCACCTCACCGTTCGATCCCCACATGGAACAACACTTCGTGTGATCCACAAACTGTTGTCCTGAGTGTGTGTGTTTTTGTCTCCGTCATGAACGTTTGTAAAGATATATATAGTACCTGGAAGTTGTCGCAGGGCGAGCCGGGGCGCAGGCTGATGCCGCCGAGCGGCAGGCCCACCTGCTGCGCGAACTCGGCCGTGCTGCGGCACGGGCCGGCGCCGCGCTGGCACGCCAGCTGGCACAGCGCGCGCCGGTCCGACACGGCCACGGCCACGCCCTCGCCCGCCGCGCGCATCGTGGACGACAGGAAGCACTCCGTCATGTTCCACTCCAGGCAGATGGAGCCGCTGCACTCGCCGCTGATGCACAGCTGGGTGCCTGTCCGCACACGCACGCTGTACTCTATTATACGACTACTGCTACTACTTTGTTGCGTACTACTTATTCGATCTATTACCCTCACGTCGATTAAAAAAGAGTTGTATTTATCGCAATCGACATTAGTCTGTGATCAAACCGAACTAGTATTCCAAAACATTAAAAAGAAATCTCAACGAGTGGTCTACAGAACAAAAATATTATTTAATGTACACAAATAAAAGTAAAATTATCTTTGATTTAGTTAGACCAATACATCTAAGGTTAGTTAAATCCCTCAATGGTTTAATTCTATTTGTATTCCATATATATCTATCACGATAAAATATCTCAATTTAATCAAGAGGTTTTCCTTCTCTACAGAATAAATCAAACTATAATGACTCCATTGTTCCTGATACTATTATCGTAAACTAATTACTCGATATTGACTTTGTGTAAACCAGTAGTACAAAATATTCCAGCGCTTGGATAGAGATGAATTATGTCAAGTACCGTTTAACCAAAATCGTTGCGTTGTTTATTTACAGTACTTTGTTAGCATTAACTTACCACCTCAATAATAATTTTGAAAAAAGTAATTTTAATTACCAACGAATTAAAAAAAATATACAGTTTGCCTTACCGTTGTTACACTTAGTACGATTAGCCATAGCCCTAGGTTCAGGACAGTCAGCAGAGTTCCCGGAACAGAAGGAGGCGTGACTGCACTCGGTAGCCTCGCGACACGTCTGATTGCGGTGGGCCGGCACAAACTGGCAGTTGCTTCCGCAGCACGGTCCTTGAGATGGACTGTAGAATAATACAATTGTTATAGTAAAATAATAATATCGCGTAGTCTACCATTGACGATAACGTCTTCCTCCAGTTAAGACGAGTTTCTTAAACGTTAAGATCGAATGATCGCATCGTAAAGAGTTAATTGCATTAACTAACCTGCATTGAGTGTTAGCTCTCCTCGTACAACCCTTGGCAGTGTCGTTCTTCTCTTTTTCTATAGTACTCAGCAGTCGTGGGTAACAACACTTATCTTTACACTCGTTTTCATCATAACCTGTAAATAAATGTAATGTTTTACTAAGATAGAATAGTATAATTTGGCAAAATTACCTACCGGACTCAGGATCAGATACATTTTGTACTACTGATATTGTTGTGAGTTGTACTTGCTGTTCTTGTGTTAAGGAATCAATTTTACTATTTATTCTAAATACTGCAGTACCTGTAGATAGTGATTTCACTAGTCAGTATCTATAGGTTTTGCTGTAATTTTTATTAAACGTCGAAACGATAGACGCGGTACATATTTGTATGAAATACTATGGCGTGACGTCACATCTAGCTATTGTCAAATCATTTATGTTTAATATTGATTTGAAGACATCAAAACAATAAATCGATAATGGAGGACAATCCAGGCTGTACTTTAAGATGACGGATTAAATGATTCAGGTGAAATAATTTACTATAAACCTAGGAATATACCCCATTTAGACAGAAAAAAATATGCATTATTATAAAACATAATTATAGATATGTATATATACGCATAGATTAGATAAATATTTTTATGTGTATTATGGGAGTCACAACCAATATTATCTATGCCATGAAAGTATCACACAAGTTATTTTAACGTTATGCTTTTTAGAAAAAATAGTACTGTTCTGGACGGATACCGGAAAAGACTATTTGACAACGTTGAAAATATTCTCCAAATTATGGTTATCCTATTAAATAATAGGATGGAAAGCATAATTTACTTTATTTCACGCATCATCATTACATGGTGTAAATTTTTAATTTTTATTTCTTTTCTTGACGGGAACGTCCTATGATTGGACACAAGTCTGTGGCGACACCGCAACAGTCACAAGCATCAAAAGTGAACCAAAGATTAATAGATATGAAGTGAACATAACAAACAATCTCAATTTGTGGATACCTTCGAACGATTTTAAGTACGCATTTTTATGTTTTTTGAGTCTTTTAGTTATTTCTAAAAGTATTTTCTAATAGATTCTGAAAGAAGTGGTATAAGTATCGCTAATTGCTAATTGTAATTACATTTTTTATCTTTTGGGATCCGTTGGCACAGAAACAAACAGTCTGTGTGGAGTAGTTTTAGACGTATTTTTACATTATGACACTACAAACCATTTATATGCCATTTTATCTAATATACCTTAACAAAAATAATGAAACTCACTTTTTAACTGCTGCACTGTTTGTTTACGTCACCAGTCTTGTGTATGTGTTAATAATATAAATAGATCTAATTTCTAACTAGAAATATTAATGTACAATATCATGTATAGAATAATCTAAAACATTTTCTAAACTTAGTCAAATTATCTATTGGCACATTCAAAAGCTAGGCACATAGAGAATGTATTGTTCACTGACCACAATCACACTCCTCGCCGACCTCAACGATCTTGTTCCCGCAGAAGGCACCTTCGCTGGTGGAGAGACAGTTGCGCTTGCGACCTTCGCGCACCGCGTCTAGCACCTGGCTGATGTTGCCGATACTGCACGTCGAGAACCGACTGTTGTTGGGGCGATCGCCTGACGTCGCCGACGCGAACATTATGAAGTTGCCCTGTTGCCCGCCTGGACGACATTCCGATGGATAATCGTGCTAGAAATAACATGAAAATCATTGCCACCTGCATAACTGAACTATATAGACCAAGGATTCGTAAAGTGGTCGACATCGAACTCTTGGGGTCCAAATCGGTTTCCAAGGGGGGTCGACGAGGTCTAAAAATCGACCCCTCTTAATTAACACAAGTTCTTATTTGAAACTTTCAAGATACTGTATTAGTTGTGTTATGTGTACCAACTTGATATAAGAATGACAAATATTCTAGGAGGAAGTATCACTGTTGTACTTTTAAAAAACTTAACAAGTCGATAAGCGTGCAGTAATTTGGATATGGGGGTCTGAGGTATCAGTTCATTTTAGGACAGAGGTCTCTTGCCCGAAATATTTCGGGAATCCCTGATATAGAACAACACGAGGATATACTTATAAAAAAAAAGCCCCTAAATGTAATCAAGTGTAGGCAATGAGTTCGATCCTTACTGGGCCCCAAGATAGTAAAATAAAAAAAAACATCCTATGAAAACCACCTTTTTTTCAAATATGAATTCTGAACTCACCGGTGATCCAAAGTTGTGACCGATCTCATGAGCCAAAGTCAACTGGCTAACTTTAGGCGGTACTCGGCTGTTGTAGTTAACGAAAGTGATAATGCCAGTGTTGAGTGATCGTTTCGTACTCTGATACATTCCTCCTATAGTCTCTGTGTATGTCTTGTACTTCTCACATATGCCTCCCGATGCACCGCTCGCACTCGCCACCCACGCAAGACCTGAGAAGTATGTCATGACCCATAAAAATTCAAAGAAGTTTACGGGTACGGGTAAGGGTACGTTGTGCCAAGTGGATAAACCATCTAGTTGGCAAAACGTACCCATCACATCACATGCCTTTCTTTTGAAGAAATTTTATTGCCTGAGTATGCTGTATTAAGAACAACTATTCAATGCGAGTTAAGTTACCAGTTTACTAGATGGCGCTAATGTACAATACTTGAAGAATTAGGTTAGCTTAATTTATTTTTAAGAGATCAGTTGTTAGTTACATCACATAACTTATAAGATAAGCTAATTACTATGTGGAGTAGTTATACGAACCCAGTGTGCCACCAGTGAAGTCTCTGTAAGTGAACACGTAGGCTAGACAGAAGTCCTCGTGGTTTCCGAGCGAGTGTAGGTTCAGGAAGTTGGATACGTCAATGTTTTCTAAACAGAACTGGTTCGATTCAGCGAGTCCGTGCGTATTACACATTGAGTCGTCGTCGATCTGTATAGGAAAGGAAAAGTTATAAACATATTGAATACTTTTTTAGTTCTCTTTGATAATTGGTTTTATGATTCTTCAAGAACCCTGACTATCAATAGACGAGTGATCGGAGGAAAAAATCCCTAAAAGGAACGGATATCTCTTAGCGCTAGTGGGTTCGGTCTGGTAAAGACTTTCATCTAGTCAAGCTTTTCTATATATGCCAATGATACTACCTTATAGGTATGCCAATGTATATGATACCTACAGATAACACATGGGTGACAAGAGCATACAGGAAATAAGCTTAGTAATACATTACGTTAATTTACACGAGTGCATAATTGTGTGTTAATTTGACAAAGGTTTTACTGATAAAGGATCATTAAAACCTTTGTCATTAGATAAAACGGTTCATGCCTAGTAGTAACCATTCATCTCAATTACGTTCGTTATTAGGATGAACAATGAAAGTATTAAGGATTTAGTACTAAACCGACTATTTTCAGGCACTAAAAAATATACATTTTAGAAATTCGGCATGAGTCTCAAAAGGTCTGTTTAGGGAAGTCTGTAATGTAAGCCTAGCAAGGGTGTTTATTGTGTGTACTAATTAAATCACACCGTTCGATCTTTACTGTAATTCTAAATCTATCTTTCGACTTGTTTTGTCTTGGATATGTTTGTATATTTCCGTAACAGAAATATATTTAATACACAGAACTATCTTTTCATTTTTCACATTAAATAGTCATTGCTTTAATGACACAGCTAGTGGCAAAAGAATTAAGGAAATAGATTGTGAGTACATACGTACATCGTATGCACGAAACTAATCTCAACGTGTAGGTGAGTCATATCTGTATCGGATTGGTATCACGTGTAGTTAAGTTACATCAGCTATGCAGTGAGTGATTAAGCAGTCAGGTGTTTAAAAACTACTGCACTATGTAAACGTTATTACTTATATACTTTTAAAATAAAAGAGCCTTTCAGGAAAACTCGTTCTTTGTATACCCATATTTGCATATCAATACATCAATCAAAGCATAGTATTAAGCAGTATTGATGTTGTTTTCGTTCGCGAGTCTAGAGCTAAAGGAAATAGAATCCTGAAGCACCTTCTTGTAACGTTTGGAAACCTTCGGATAATAGACAAGCAGGAGTATCGGTGAAGTCGTATGACGAAGTTACATCGCGAGTTATCTACATTCCATGGCTGGTGAACGCGCCTTCGCTACCCTGATATAACATTTTACGTCAGTCCCAACACTTGTCATATATTGTCATATATTTTGTATCACAGTTAATAGGATTCGTGAATTAATTTAAAACACCATCTGGCTTCCAGGATTTCCTTGCATTGATAATGTCGTTCTTCGTTTCTGAAGGCCCAAAAATAGGCCTTAAGTGACGAAGATGAAGATAAAAGAGAAGTCAAATCCGATTTGTTAAAGGCTTGGATTTGTCACAGGAGTTAACGAATCAAGGCACTATGTATCTTCTGCGAGAGGATACGAAGTTTAATTTTAAAATTACTCTTATTTTTGGCGGCTCCTTACTGAAGACATAGCACTATTTAATGAGTTTTTTTTTTTATGTTTAAGATTTGATTATGTTACCTCAAATCCACTTACTTTACTCATATCAAATGAGCAGCCAAATATCGGTAACATATTGAGGCAATACTTAGCATCACAGTCAACAGTGCAAAATTTGTATTCGTTACTTGAGAATTTAGAGCGGCTTTCAGATACAAATTGTATGCTGCTTTTAGAAAGAGTGAACGGTGATTCGTACCTTAATCCTCTGTACTTCAAACTTGATGTTCCTATGCTCCAAGCGGCCGTCGAATTTGGAATGGCTGTATATATAGTTGACGGCAGTGACGTGGTGTGATATCAGTGACAGAATCTCCTCGCGAGTTTTCATGTCCACTTCGGCTTTCTTGCTAAGGTCTCGGTGCTGTAAAAAACAAGTTGCAGTTCAAATATTGTCCTTTTCGTTTCCCGCTAATTTTAATTTTTCCTACAGTAATTTACATGTAGGTATATAAACATAATATACTTGCTTATTATAGGCTTGTGATTTAGACATATAACCTTATAGTCTTGCACCTTATAAAACTATAGTTTTGTACTGTAACATTTACAAAACAGTTGCTTCTGAATATGAAACTTACTACGGCATGGTTGCTAAACTAGAAATGTGTGGTATAATAAATTGCAGTCTAGGTTGCACATTAATCCATTAATATTTGTAAAGTCTTTACCTAGTCACGTGGAATCTATTATTATAGGTGTTGAATTATTATGTTTACTGAGCATTAGATTGTGCGTAGGTTATCTTAAAAACAATCTATATTAAGTGTGTGACAACACTCTGACTAGAAACAGCACGTACGCTACTTAAAACACGAAGAGAAAAAAATAATTATTACCTATACATCTTTTAATTATGTAGTAACTGTAAGAGAAATAACTATAACCTAAACACTGACCAAATTGTCCCTAGGAATGCCACGATGGAAGCCCGGGTTTACAAAAAAACTGTCAGTTTGTGTTCTAATAATAGTCACGTTTTTATTCTCTTCCGTCTATGTTCTAATAATAGTGCCAACTGAAATGGAATAAGGAAAAAAGAAAGAATAGGCACGTCATCGACGGCCTTTATATTCTTCGTACACAAGTATAATAATTAACTAATATAACAAAATGTATTTCCCTTCCTAATTTGAAATTACTATCGTTTAAAAGATTGTTTGTTTCGTTCGAGCTTATCATAGACACAGTTTCGTAACTAAAAAATCGTACTGTTTCATAAAATGGTTGGTATTAAGTATACCCAATATTAAACATTGTACTTGTTATCAGTCAGTAACACTTGAAATCATTATGATATATTCAACATCCCGCCCCAATCGATGTTTGTATAAAAAGATCACTTACGTCCGGGAATCCCTCCCTGACGTGTCGCCATATGAGGGGGTCCGTCTGTATGTACAAGGAGCACGTGTTTCGTTTGTCTATTGTCGCTCGTTTTGACCTCGAATGTTCGCCTGTGTTCGCCGCACGGGAGTATTTATTATAATTATGAAAGTCCCAGTATCTGAAACAATATTATTTACAATATTAATCATGAAAATTTGGCTAAAGACCCTTTGAATTGTAGACACAGGGATAAAAATGAGTATTGTCAATAATCGCAAGGCAAAGCTTAACAATGAGCATAATTTAACCATAAAGAAGACATTACTGTTTTATACGCAGGAAAGAAAATATAAAGCGTTAATAATATCTTTACTTATTTACAGTAAAGCAGATAATTTCTTAAGTTAATCTTGGAAAGTGATAGATTAATATAAGAAAAACTTAATAGGTACTCATATATAAACAAGTTTTCAAGGAAGCAATAGATACGACATCAAGCTACCTCGCGTTCAGCTAATCTTGAACAGTATCTATCATAGCTCATAAACTGTCAAGTTAACATATAAAATAAATGTTTCGTCTTTTCTGAAACAATTATTTTCTAATATAATCAATTTTCGATGCGTTTATAATAAAAGAACAAACAAAAACTTACTCATATTATTACTCTCTACTATACCATTACTCTATCTCTTTATTTACATTCGTTAAAATAGTTAAGCAATGAATCAATGAAAACTTAAGAAATATACTTTCATATGACACAATTTTATGGTACTAGGTACTACCATAAAAATGTGCAAACGAGTAGACATAAAAACATCTCTAATATTATAAATGCAAAAGTATGTTTAATTGGCATTAAAAGAAAAGCAAGTACTTACTTAATTATTTATTTAAACAAATCAATCAAGTTATCTTGAGACACCTGATTAGTCGATATCTGATCTATAACTAGGCAGAACCTGCCTACTTTTGAAACCAGACTACACTATAGACAGACTATATGTAAAATACTCAGACACAGAACAAATATTCGTCCTTATAACAAAATTATTAACAGACAATTGTGGAAATTGTAACCATGACCTAAAACTGAACACGATGTCGGTTCGAAAAATAAAATACGATTAAGGAGTAAGTTTTAATATTATAATGAACATTGTTTATCACTTTTTGTTATTTGCACTGAATATAATCGACTAAGTCATCTACTATAAAAGTTTATTTTTACTCGTAGACACATAAAATCGGATCACCACACCGGATAATATGTACGGCGGTGGATTTCGATTATTTTAAAGTCTGCCAAAAAAACTAAACTAAGAACGTTGCCATAGTTTCATTTAAAAATTTTGTTTATTTTTATGTAAAAATACTACGACAGTTCTACCAATTTTAAAGTGACTTTGCAATGATGTATCTTTTTATATTGGATCTAAGATTAATATGTGTATACAGACAGACAATTTGTAACCATACCTAATGCTTACATTGAAATTGATTTGAGTTATGATTTGAAGTAATTTGAATATCGCTTAAATCTGAAATCTGTTAAAACGTAAATGTAATTCTGTAAATATTTAAAATCAGTATTTTGATATATTTATACTCTATTCAATACTGATATTGTAATGTACGCTCAGTAGTTTAGTTTAAGACTATAATTTTCTAAAGAAAACAAGTGCAACGATGCACATGTTCAAGGCAATAAGGAGATTAAAACCAAAGCGGCTATTTACGATCTCAGTAATGTTGGAGCTAAAAGTTTGAATATGAACATATTTCATCGAAATAGAGAGTGAATGTTGCTCTATAAAAATGTTATACTTAGTTTACACGTTTATAAACCCCAATATATAATTAAGAAACCCTTCTTTCTAAAACACTTGCACTTACTAAGCGAACTCGACCCGAATTTTTATTTAAGGGCTAGCATAGCAACATGTGAGCTTTCGTATAGAGGTAAATAAAAAAGGGTTCAAAGTTTTTGTGAGCTGGCGCACGGTACATACGAGTACAATAAAGTGTTAGCCAGATTTCTGACTTTTAAATTTAAATTGTTTACCAAATTTCTATCAATAGAATTAATACGTAGTTATGTATATTAAAACGCACGATTGACAATTGTATATATAGTTAGGTTTGAATTAATCATACACATTAGGTGTTTAATTCTATTTATACAAATTTGCATCTTAGCTAGCATAAACTTTCAAAGAAATCTAAATAAAATATACAGAACATAGAACTGCGATTTAGTCAACAGATCTGAATAGTTTAGTAGTTTTACTATACTTAATGTTTCTTTGGGTTTGGCTGTATGCCTGTGTGGCTGTGTGCTTGTGACCACGGCCAGTGCAACTCGGTCGAAACCTCAGGCAAATCTAAGGTTGTGTTTATTATTATGGTGTGTCGGTTCAATTGTGTTTACTTACTTAAGTACTACCCCCAACATGTATTTTAACTATTAATTATGTATTACGGAAATTAATACGATCACGATAGGTATTAAGTCCATATACTTAATTACTATCTAATGACTAAATGACTGCACGAATGGTGAAGTAGTTTAAGTTGTCACCTCGCCGCTTCCTTCCGTCCCGTTCTGGATTCGATTCCACATGGGACAACACTTTGTGTGATCCACAAATTTTTTTGTTTTAGGTCTGGGTGTTCTTTGTGTCCGTTTTATGGATCTGTAAAGTCCCCGCGACACAGGGTATACGAGTATTCCTAAAGCGGGAGTTATATCTTTATCTTTCTCTATCTTTTCAATCGCGGGTCATTTACCCCTTGTTCTAATCATGTATTTGGTTTCACTAGATAAGGTTGGGGTGATGACGGATTAAGAATACGGAGTGTCAGCACCCTTTGAGTAAACTATGCAGGACAACAGCACTGCAAAGAGAAGTATAGTAGGCCAAAACCTCCTTCTAAGTTGTTTTTGATGATAATGATGATGATGGATAAAGTTTCTCCTTACCTTGTCGAGTCATCCCTCAAACTGTTGGGATGCATAGGTGCAGATGCTGGGGCGTGGTACCCGTGCGATGGGGTTGATAGTGAATGTTGGGGAGTCGGAGAAGGTGGAGGTGATGACACAGAATCGTCTTCAACTCCCGAATTCTGAATACGCTCCATCCATTGGACGACCTCATCCGTTATCCCGCAACCGCCGACATGGCCTGGTATGGACATTTAATAATATTAAAATACAAACAAATATATCCGTGAGAGCTGAAATACCTAAAGAAAGTGTGTATTTAGAATACTGAGAAAACCTTTTAAATTAATTACAACCTATACGTCTAAAATCATATCATTTTAAAACAACCTTTAGGTATCTTGTCACCTTAGCGGTGGTGAAAAGTTGATTATATTTTTTTAGGGACCACAAAAACTTAAAAAAAGATATTTCAATAAAAATGATGATTGTCCAATAAAAACAATTATAAATATAATTATTTCTTCAGAGTCTTGATTATCCCTGTCAAAGATATCGTCAAATTATGATTACCTAACTTTTATTGGGATGTAATAATTTTGTAATCTTACAGACGTTACACGAACCAATGCGCTAAAGGTCGCGGGTTCGATTAATGCTGAAGTTAAACATTTGTGTGCATGAACATTTAATGTTTGATTTGGTCTGGGTGTTTCTATGTAATAATAAATAATCTGTATGAATTTACAAAAAAAAGTAGTAGTTATATGTATTTATATCAGTTGTATAGTACTCATAGTACATAGGTTCTGCCTAGTTAGGGACTAAACGGCGTTGTGTGAATGTGGTCTAACATTATATATTATTATTTTAATAGAGATTTTCTGAAGAAAGAAACTTAAGTGTCGGCAACAAACGGGTTAGACAGTACAGTAGATATTACAATAACTAAATAGATGCACTAATGAACGTGTCTTGAATACGAAAGTTATATTTAATACGATTATAAAACAGATTAGTCGTAGCGAGACACGAGTAAAAAAATTATTCCACGTGGTACTCTACACTTGTGAGCGACAAGAATATAAAAAACATAATCAATGTACCCGCGGTTGGTGCTTACCGATGGCACAATGCTGGAATATTCCACAACATGTACATGATATTTTAAATTATTCATGATAAATCCCAAGTTTTGCTGCAAAAGTTAGAAAAGTAAAGTACATAGCGAACGTCGTCCTGAGGAACTCGTGGCAAAATAAAAAACCGAACGCTGACACGAACCTCTTTACTATAGCTATTCTGAGATTTATTTTTCAACCGAGATCCTGTGAGATTTATAACTTTAATATACATTAATCCCTTTGTTTTTTTCCTCTCAACTTGGAGACGTGAGTAATTTTAGTGTTTAGACTGATTTTGGTGATGATATTTTGCAATCTTCACATGAGATGGACGTGTTCGAGTACATAATGTATTGTTGAACAAATCTCATGGTTTTTGTATGTGATCATTTTGCTTGTGTACTGTAAATAACGTCACCTGTGCAGCTTTCTATTGCGATATTACAAAAGTGTTATAGTTAAAATTTTTAGCCGTCAGATTATTAAGTAAGTCGTTTTGTAAGTTGTTGCATGTATTCGATAATCAAAAGGTTTGCGTTTTATTCAATTCTATTCAAAAAGAATCAATATCGAACATAATCCTCCTATTTACTACCAAACTGAGTCTAATAGCCATTAGATCATAATTCTCTAACAATGCATTGGAAATAATATCAGTAAGGTAAGATAAGAGAACAACAATAGCAGTTCTATTTGTAGATACAATTTCTACTTCACAATACACGATCTATAACGTTGCTACTGTGGTCCAAACATTGAATAGGGAAATGACGCATAAAAAGTACAATACGAACGAAAAAGCCAGAGGGTTTTAAAATTAAAAACCGGTGAATAGTCGAGACTTTTTTTCTGTTCGTGTGTGTTGTGTCAGAGCACATTGGCGTTTCGCATCCGGGCGGTCTGCATTTTAACGAACCTCCTGCACGAATGCGGAGCGTCGACGAGATAACGGAAATTACCGGCTGCTGGTGTACATCTACTGACGTTAATGTCTATCAACTATTCAAATCTGATAATTACTTGCACTGCTGGCACCTTCGGTGGCTACGCTTTGTTTATACAAAAAAAAACAAAAATAAGTATAATGCATTAACTACTTTTGTTTTAATTCTGTTTACAATCACGGTATTTAATAATTTAAGAAATAAAGTAATGCGTTAAATTTTCTTAGTGTGGCTATGCTATCTGATTTAGTGCAATTTATTACGGCACTAAAAGTGATATCAGTGTCAAATACCATGAACTACTGAATTTATAATGCCATCGATTTTTTTTTGTGTTAGGCCACTTGGTTTTCTTACTGAAGAGTTTTAAGAAAACATAAAAGCATGGCGTGTTTAATTTTGTACTTTTTAACTCCCCCACGCCATATGTTTTGCCCATTTTTATCTATAATTACGCCTGTATGTTGTTTATAAATGCACACACATGTTAATTTTGTATAGAGAGAAGTGTTAGGTTATAACAAGTCTTATTATGGGTTATGAAAATTTTATGTCATCACCATAAATTATAATTACTATAATAAGCATGGCACATAGACTTAACACTGAAATTCTAGTAATAAAAAACGCATGTGTTTCTTTTTTGTTTTAAAGAAATCACTTTGGGATATAAAAATACGCTTTGAAAAAACAGAATGATGTTTGAAATCCAAAAGAGTGAACAAGTAGTTGTTACTGTCAACTTATTTAGAATCAAGAAATTCGATTTGATAAATTTGTCTTACATTATTAATTTGGTTTACAAGTGCCGTACAAGGCTAAACCACGAAGATAATACAAAGAATCAAAGAAATTCTCAAATGAATTTACTACTACAGTCACTCTATCTATAGTCGTATAAAAGTAAATGTTGCTTTGAATCAATTAAAAGATTAATTAAAACTCGATTCGATTAAACTCACAGTCACAGTTTTCTCAGGAACTAATAAATTTTATAAAAGAATGAAAGATGACATGTGAACATATATTAAAAGTGACATGTTTTAGACCAGTTAAAGTGAGTTTAAAATAAATCTACACTGGTCAGCAAATAAACCGAGCCACCCGCTACCTAGGAACTCTGATTCGATTTTCTCAAAAAGTATAAAACTTACAACTATCAAAGTTATACCTACAAAAAGTGCGTTTCATTCCCACTTGAAATATATCCTATGTCGCGGGGGAGTTTACATAAACGGACACAAAGAACACCCAGATTTACAGAACAACAATTTGTGAATCACACGTTATGTTATCCCATGTAGAGATCGAGCCCACAACACTCAGCGTACAGAAAGCGGCGAAGTGACCGCTTAAACCACCACGACATCCGTGCATTTTTGAAGAAATTAATGCTATTACTTAACATGACGTTTATGGACAAACTATTGTGTTATTCATCTGCCTGACAGGATTTAGTTCTCGTGAACACCTCGAGGTATCAAGCTGATATTACCATCAAATACTTTTGTATGTCTGCATTTTTCTTTCTGTTAGATGGGGCAGACTAGGAGACGGGTCACCAGTTACGTAAAATCGTAAAAAATATAGTCCAAGTCAACATAAGGAAATGATACGACCGTTTAGGTCTCATTTCTTGATCTAATTAAGAAATTTCGCAGGTTAATCAAAACTAAAGAGGACTTCCAATAGATCTAAAATCATGCAATTTGTTAAGACTCAGAGTAATTTTTTTTGCAATTCCAAGCTTATTTAAAAATTGACTGTGGCCGTCCATAAACCTGTGGGGAAGTAAGAATACTCATCAAAATAAAGTTTGTCACTAGGGAAAAGTAGGGAAAATTTTTAGAGAATCCTGAGATGAGTTACTTAAGTTTTTAGAAAAGGTTGGGTGTCCTTCTGCGAACCTTTGGATCATAAGTATGAGTTAGAGTAAAACCTTAATCATTACACCAATAGTTATTCGGTTCTACTTAGGTTAGATGACTTAAGAACAAAGGAAAATGTATTCATAATGAAATTATTTATTACTAAAAACACATGATCTGCACTAATATAATCGAACAGTTGTTTTCTGAAAAACAACTGGGTTTAAACAAGTTTCTTTATAAAATTACAGTTACTACAAAAATTTGCAAAAAAAATAAAGATGTAACGGAATTACGAAATGTAATTGTCAAAGAAGCACTGGTATATCTTTGACTTTCTTAATGAATTTGCAGCATATTTCGCTTAAAATGGTAATCAGACTCATCACCGTCTTCTTTGAGAGGACTGAATTTAGAATGTGTTTATTTTTTAAATTTTATAAGGAAGAAAGTGTCGTTAAACAAAAGTTACACGTTTTATTCTAAAAATATATTTTACTTTTTTGATCGTAAGTCTTTCATATTCGAATAAAAGTTCTATAGAGGACGTGCCGAGAGGGTACCCTGGCCACTGTTCAATAACTCGTAATGAAAACAAATGTAGCTACAAACCCGACCCTTCCTGCTCACTCAATACCTACAAAATTTATTTGCCGATCAAACGCAATTTTCAGAAATTGAACAAATGAAAGAAATCCCCTCAATACAATGAAAATAACATTACAGAACTACTTTCAGAAACTATGATGTAAAAGGACAGTGACAGCAACTCGTGCATGGATTTGTATACTAATCGATTTTAACGCACAGTATTAGGTTAGGTTATCATATTTTATAACAGTTACACTGACCAGTATTCAAAGAGTAGTTTTGTAATGTGAGCTCGTGTTTATGTTATTTAGTAGACTCGCATATTCAGGTGAGTGGGTACGCTAAAACTGTAGTAGGCGAAATTGCATCTACAACACAGCTGAAACGGCAAAAATGCAAACTCGGCAGGCGGGGCGGTGTTGTTGACGCGGAATTACCATTCCCGTGCAGCCTACGGACGAATGAATATGGAATGCAAAATTTTGTCTAGTTTGATTGCATTGTAAAATCGAGCCAAATTCCTTGTACATAGAGATAAATATCATTAGAGAAACATTGAAATTATCATGGTGAATTGAAGTCGACTGGCTCTGAATTAATTTATGGCAGCGACGCCAGCCAATAAATGGTCTGTTATAAATTCTGTGAATTTTCCGATGCAAGCGGTGTTGCAATCAGCTGGTGACAGTGCGCCGAGCAAATGGGATTAAACTTTGTTAAACGACCTTGCGTTGCAATCCATTTGCCGCGCGACATACTGTGGCGAAAGTTCCACACGAGTTCCTCTCCCCTGACAGTCAACAACTCCCGAGTCTCTATCCTACAAACTGCGCACGTGTAGTTACAAATTTCTCCACGGTTAAATTTTTGATTACACCTCTTCGAAGGAACTTAATTGGACATGGATACATGGAATTAAAACCGTAAAATGTGATTGCTTCATTTGATACGAGTCATAAACTAAATTATTGTACTAGAGTATACGATAATCGGCTTTTCCTAGCAACAATAATACGAATTTGCATTCTTGAAGGTCTGCAGAGGTTCTTAACTATATTTGCCGACTGTCGTATTTCCGTAGAAAATAATAATAATAAAGTAAATCTAAGAGTCAATCTATGCTTTTTTACGATAAAAGTAACAAGTAAGTAAGTCACATATGCATTAGTACACGCCTGTTAGTGCGTACCAAGACACTACCGTATTTTTAGGTATAAAAAAGACGTTAATCCTGAAGATCCTGATCAGGATAATCGGCCAAATTTATAAAATTATTGTATTGTCATCGGTCCTTAATAAGTGACGTTTTTAAAATGGTCAAAATCTGTCACATACATTCATACCAAGCTACATAAAGCGTGTTAAAAACGAAGAAGAACGTGTAGAACCAACCTGGCATACGTTTGTGTTTCTAAAAATTTGAATCATCAACAGCCTGTACTAGTCCACTGCTGGACATAGGCCTCTCCTTAGAAAGGAGGGTTTGGCCTACTATACCACGCTAGCCAGTCGGGTTGGTATAGGGTTTGTTTCAAGTTTTCCTTCTCTTTACAGTGCTGTTGTCCTGCGCAGTTTGTTACCTTAGTCGGCTCTTACGACACTCACAGGATGAATAGAGGAATGTGAATGTAATGAACGAAAGTGAGACGTATTCTTCTTGTACGCACTTTGTAGTGGTTATTAGACAAAAAAAACTCAGTCTCCATAACAGATATTCCCATTTAAATGACTAGCTGGTTAGTTAGGGTCTATAATCAAGTGACAAAGACAATTTTATAACAAACATACATATACGAGTATTAGTATTATGAATTTTCTTTTTATCATTGGTAGTAATATGAATTAATTGGGATATGAAAGGCCTTTTAAATTAAAAAAAAAATACCTGTTCTTTATTATACACAGTTTAATTAACTATTATCAGCTCAATTATAGCTTAGACTCATCTCATAAATTATTTCAGACTTGTTTCTTTTGTTAATTAGTTGTACTAAGTATGATAAAAATCTAGCGACGTGCAATTAATTCGAATAAATCTATACCTTCACAAAATCACAATAGCGAGTGAAACCGCAACTACAAAGCGGTCTGTCAAAACAGATAGATCTACAAAAAGTTGTCTACTGTGGTTTTCCTTGTGCAATGTACGTAAGTATGTTTAATGCAAAATGATAGAAAAGGACTAAAGAAAACATAGTTATTTCTATAATATGATTACCAACCTGTCTGGCAAACGTGGTTAAATAGGCCAAAACCTCCTTTTGAATAAGAGGCCTACGTCCAGCAGTGGACTACTAAAAGCTGTTGTTGATAATAATGATACGATTATCACTACGAAATAGTTTGACACTCATACATATGGGTCGATGAATTTACATTTTAAAGTTACCATAATTGTATTATGTTATTTTCAGCAAGGAGAATATTCTGGTGTACTACTGAGCAAGATACCTTTAGGCTTTTTGGATGGTGGATATCAATCATAAAATTGCGTGTTATGCCCTTTCAATAATGTAGGGTATATTACTAAATAAGCGCTTAGTTTTTAAGGAACTATAGCCACAAGATTAATACTACTCGCCTCTTATAAAATCGTTATTTTTAAGTTAAAATTAACGTAATATACCATTTATATTCACGGCTTAAAACTTAATTGGTAGCTGTATTAGGTAGTTAGTTTAGGTACTCATGATCAGGTATTTCTTGTCTTCGTCATTTGAGTATCATAAGTTATTGAACATAAGCAGAAGATTCTTAACATAAGAAAGATGGAATGGATGAGGACGAACCTGTTTAAAGCATAGTCTCTAGCTTTTTAATGCAAGAGCTTATTCCGGGTAAATATTTATGACTCAGATTAGTTTCTGTCTACTCACCGTGTCTTCGATGGGCATAGGGATCGTTGACGTCACCCTCACGATAGATGACAGAGTGCACGCGCGTGCGCGTCCCGTTCGGTGGGAAGTATCGCCGCGCATGCTCTACGTAGAACGAACCATCGCTCCCTATTATCTTTCCCTCGAAGACACCGTCTGTCACCGAGCCGAACACTGTTGACTGTGGGTCACCTGGATAAACACGAAACATTTTCAGTATATAAATATCACATCAGAACTGGGTGCTGCTTCTATCTATTGTGTATTGATAAGGGCATTGATAAGATAAAAAATAATGTTGGGAAAAGTTTGTTACTCTTCTGAAATCTTAATGAAGTAAACTCAAACGAGTCATTACCAGGACGAACCGAAAGGTATTAAAATAAAACAACAAAAACCACGAGGATTTCTACTGGAATCTTAAGCAAGAAACGTGAAGAGGCCTTGTGCAACTGCTGGGCAGCAGGTTACCTCGCCGTGGAGCAAGTCTAAGATTACTTTTATTATTTTATTACTGGTTCGCAGTGGTTTCATTTGCAGCCGCTGTATTCATGGCATGAATAATTTATGCGTCAACATTTGCCTCACCATTTTCTTGTAATTTGAATAGTCACATTAAGATAGCTGACGGCAGAAGTCCTTTAAAATACTGTACAAGCATAATTATCTAATATATTATAAATACAATTGGTACCTCTAGGTACTACCTTAACTGGGGGCGCGTAAATGAAAGGAAAAAAAGCCTAAGTTATACTTTATGTAGGCAGCTACCTGGTAGTAAAATATTATCAAAGTCAATACAGCCGTTTAGAAGATTACCCGAAACAAAAAGACAGATAGACAAAAAAAACTGCATAGGTATCGTGCAAATAACCGTGTGAGCATGAAAAAAACCTATAATTTTGACATTACAAACAGACACTTCAATTTTATTTATTTGTAAAGATAACACATTTGGAAGTAAAAACTTTTTTAAAATTTATAATAGCTATCTTTATAATTTATAAAAGTCTACATCTTACTTAATAAAGCAGCCGACTTAATTAATGTACAAGAATATGATGCTAAACTTATAATTTTATATAATTCCACAGAGAAAGTATAACAAAAATCTGTAGGTATAGTTTATATAATAAATTTATTCGCTATTTACAGTAGAAGATTTTCTAGGTCTTTGGGCGAATCTCATTTCTAATATTTTGTGTGTAAAGTAAAAGTAAAGTAAAAATATATGTGATGATTAATAATAAAGCTTTCCTCGTATTTATACACAACTAAAGTATTTATACAGATCATGATGTTGCAAGAAGTGTTTTGATATACATCATGTCAAAATTCCATTTATTTCACAGAATAAAAAAGTAATTCTGTACATTTACAATTGGTTATTTAATAATGTAGAGATTTTAAAAGAGAGACAGGATAGTATAGAAATCTTTTAGATGTTGCGAAAAGGTGTACGATGCGTCTTTACGGAGACTGGTACTAGTAGTAGAATAGAACGTAGAAGTAGAATAGAACGTTTAACATCAGTAAGTAGAATAGAATATGCTTTATTGTATACCAATTACAGTAAGTTGGACGTTGGTTACATTACAGATGGATATGTTCAATGGACGGCCTTATTGCTAATAGCAATCTCTTACAGGCATCATTTGGATAGACAAATCAACAGTAGATGAGAAGAAACAGTGGGTAGTAATTTTATGTTATGCTTTTCTTTGCTATAGGTTCTATATGGTATATATATTTAAATATGTATTTTCGAAAAAGTATTAAAGTCCGGCAAAATAAATAGCTACTTTTTAATGCAGCTAAGGTGCAAAAGTAAAGATTTATTAAAAACTAGCTTTCGCCCGCTGCTCCACCCGGTGTATGTCGGTTACCGCGGTAAATAGTAGCCTATGTCCTTCCACGAGATATATTAGTATGGATAGTATGGATTTATAGGCCCGCTCCGATCCTGCCAGCCGCTAACACCCGGTTTGCCTCCGCATTTTAGACGTCTAATATCTTCTAAAATGTTCGTTTTGATGATATGCTGTGAAGAGCAATTTAATTCTACATTAAATGTACAACGTACCTAAAGTATTTAATTGGATAAGGAATTATAATGTATTGTTTAAAATAGCTTCGTGAATAACCCATTATTTTTTAGTAATATTTAAAAGATAAAAATGGTTACTGTGAATTATCTTTAGGAGATAGACATACCACCTTGAACTTTTTTATAAATCTTTTTAAGATTTACAATTTCGTAGTACATTATTTTGGACTATCTCGTAAGGATTAGCGCCAGCGTTTGTAATGTAAACCATGTTTTTAAAGACGAATCTATGAAATTTTCGGCATTTCTCTGCTAGAATATGCTTGTGTTATACATGTAAACCTTCCTCTTGAATCACTCTCTCTATTGGTGACATTAAACCGCATAAAATCCGTTGCTTAGCTTAAAAGATCTAAGCGTACATAAAAAAAGCGACTTTATTTTATACTATGTAAAGATTTGTTATAGTTACCTGGCTGCATGAAACTGATAGCGAACATATTTGAAATAGTTGTCTAAAGGACACGTTCCGCATAATAATATCGGGCTCAGTTTACTCGACGCCCACAATGAGTGCTCTTACGATAACGATGTAACTTCCACAAAACAATTACGGAGTCGTGTCACAACCACACAAGTTTGAAAGTTATATGAATAGCAAAAGTATTGGTTTGCACATAAGGTGTAACCTTTGTACCTGTCAGCGGTATGTTCTAGCCTTTAATTTTCTATAATAATTATTCTATAATAAATCTATTTAATGTAATATGTACTGTTTCTGGACTAAGTTTTATGACACTGATATTTAACCTTTTATTAATTTGTTTCTTACAAAAAAAGTTGATTAAACAACACATTGTTTATTTCAAAGACATCAGTAATCGCCCGGCAAGGATTGCTATCATATTAGATGCTTCAAATTCAAAGCTTTCTTATAAGCTTAAACTCACCGTGTGTATTTACATCATGAGTCACGAGTTCGTAGTGTGAGGAACCAGTTTTAGGTACAATAGAATCCGTAAAGTAATATACTTTTCGGTGAAATAAACATATACAGTATATTGCTTTGTTTAAATTTTTACTTAGATTTTGTTAGGGTTCCGTACCTTAAAAGAAAAAAAAACGAAACCCTAATAGGATCACTTTGTTGTTTAATTTTTTATAAAATTATTAATATTTTATATAAATTATTATTGTAAACATTTTTCCGTGACTGTACTGTTTTTGGCTTGAACAGTAGATTTTTTATTCATTTATAAATTTTTTATTCAGTCGCCGGAAGAAAAATATTAAAATTATATGGATCCGGTAACTGGCACCGCGGTCCGAGTCGCTGTACCCTCAAATATTTGCATAGTAGAGAAAAAGATGTTTCATATAACAGCGTCACCGGCACAATATAGGGGCCATTTCATCAAAAACGAGCCGCGGGAAAACCCTAATATGTAATTCTCATGAATCATTCCATATTGTCCAATTTGACCCACCCCTGGTGTATTTTGAATGTTGACTATTTTTAATCACGACATGACAATATACTGGTAGTATAAACAAAAGTGTAAAATCAGAACCTTACACTGGCTAAGAAATTGAATCTTCAATATTCAATGTCTGCATATATAATTCAGTTTAATATTAAATTATTTAAAGTAAATATAGAGCTCTAAGTAAATATTTTATTTTGGCGCATTTGTATTCAATATGCAACCCAACTGTACGCACGCTATGGCTTAAAGCCATAATTATTAATAGTTATAGTGAGTCACACCCTGTGCAACTAATGGGGAACTAACGCGGTGTATAGAACGTAATAGAACGTGGCATTTACATTCATTAAGGCGTATGCCTATTGGTTCTGTGACCCTATACCGTATACCGTGAGACATGCAGGTGTCTATGCAGTAATGCAGTCTAATTCATTTATACGCTCAAGTGGTTTATACGTCAAGTTTATACGCTCAACATTTACAAACAACGAAACTTTTCAGTCGGTTTAAGTAATGAGCGTGTCTTTAAGCGCAGTTGTACCCTGTTTTTCATCGGTTACATTTAAATACATATATATAATAATGGCACCGTTCACCCACCTAATTTGAACAGTTACTAGCAGTACAAAGCAGTTACTACTCGAGATGCCTTCTTCCCTTACTAGTCACAATTACCTATATGCACATTTCCTTTTTAATTGCAAACGACGATGTTATCACAAGTTATAACGGTGCAACAATCTTTCATGTTATAATGAAGTTTTTAATTCATTCAAGTTTATATGTAACTCTTATCGTCGTTGAGTTTTACAAACTTTATTTTTATGGGAATATCTACCTATGTATACCCTATATATTGTGGACCTGGATGTACTACAATGCAACCTATATAATTATAAACTAAGTACATTCGATTCGATTTGTACTTCTTCAACAATAACAACTTTGATTCACACCAATTTGGGCCAGACAATGAGGTATTGAACACTGGTGACTGTTGTGCTAAGAATTGTAAACTTTGAAATACTGATTAGGATTTAAGATGATATTTTAACGCATTGTGTAATTAATTCGTGTATGTATATAAAGTTAACTAGTGTGAACTCCCTGATAATATGTTTTTAACTATTTTCATTTTGGACTCAAATCCAGATTGTGACTTGTTTGCGGAAGGATGGCAGTAGATTATAATACCTTTTTTTGTTGACGGTGGAAAATCCCTTCGGATCTCCTGCTCCTCAGGTGCCAGGAGTATGTGGTGATTCCACTAAAAACCACCAATTGACACCATGCCTAATCAGGCATTATCTCAGGGGAAATCATTTCCTCACCTCTCAATCGCGGCGTGGTAGCCCGATTGCGTCTTAATGCAATCAGGCTGCCATTCTGTCCTCTACCTACCAGCCGGCTGAGGGCCACCAGGGGTCCCCACTCCCTGGCGGCCCTCGGCGGGCTGGTATCGTCGTCGACGTCCTCTACGTTCGGGATCGGCCCTCTCCCGATCCCGTTCAGCTGTCTCTTTCTGGAGAATTACAGCTTCACAGAAAGAGACCACTGCGCCCCATCCCTCCTCACCCACCAGCATGGCAGCAATGATTGCTGGCGGGGACAGGTCTCGTCTAATTGTCTAATTTGGCTGTCCAGGACTTCGCATTCAG